ACAAGGTCTGTTCGATCTCGTAGTAAAAATACTAAAAATCACTGCAACACTGCACATCATACGATGGCGGCCATTTTTGTTGTTTAAAATTTTTGTGTTTTGGGTTTGTACAGATTAATAATCGTTTTAAAAGTTGTGTTTCTTACAGAGAGACTTGCAAGCCTTGAAAGAGACCTCAAAGTGGTAAGAACAATCATTTTACTCCTCTTTTGTAAAAAATAAACCTTATAAAATAACCTTAAATTAACCTTCAAATTGACATTTGACAGCCCTGATAGGTTTATTTTTTACAAAAGAGGAGTAAAATGATTGTTCTTACCACTTTGAAGTCTCTTTTAAGGCTTGCAAGTCTCTGTAAGAAACACAACGTTTAAAACGATTATTAATCTGTACAAACCCAAAACACAAGAATTGTTAACAACAAAAATGGCCGCCATCGTATGATGTGCAGTGTTGCAGTGATTTTTAGTATTTTTACTACGAGATCGAACAGACCTTGTTGTGTGGATTGTGGCCTTATCTATAGGTTATATCATGCCAGAACTGGCTTATACGTATGTAATTTTAAATTATTTCAAATTAGAGCTATACCTTAATTATTGATCAAGGTATATACATTTTATACTTATACCTATTTATTTCTTTTAAAGTATTCTGTAGGCCTGATATGCGTTAGTACTCACGTGTAAGGTTTTTGACATTTTGCTCAAAAACAACTAATATGGATAAGCCGAGTTTTGGAGTGCACCTCCTCAAATAACATCCATAAACAAACACAAAATTACAAAGTTAAATAAACTTAAATAATCCCCGTCCCCTCTTTACTCCTGCTCTCCTCCCAGTTTCCTTACTCTTCCCTGTACCTCTTTTATCCAATGCACTCCTCTTCTATCCTCATGTAACATATTTTTTTCTACTTTCACTCCGTTCTTTCAACTCACTACGCACAATCTGCATAGGTACTCTCTGCATACCGCTGTCGTTATAATTTAATCACACTATAGGTAGAGAGTTACTTCTCGTTAACTAATTTATTTTGTTAAAGCTTTTGTCTATCTCACCCCTGGTTAAATAATGAAGACTACCTAATTACAGGTAGTCTTCATTACCTAACCAGGGGGTAGAAGGTAAACAAGTATTTTTATTTAGGAGAAATTACTAACAGAACCAATAAAATACAACAAAAAAAATTAATGGAGGCATTAACTAGTTTCAAATGTTGTGGATGCCATTTTCAAGCTGACCCAATATCTCAAGCAGCTCTTCTTTGCTATCTCGGCCATGATTTTCAAGAAAGCCCCTAATTGTTAAAATTGCTGCATTCACTTCTTGACTAGTTGGAGCTAACCCTCTGTCCTCGCCAATTTCTCGCACCGTTATTTCTTCTTCTATATCTTGTCTGTCACTTCCCTCATCGCTACTCTCCTCGCTGCTTACTATTGGACTATTATTAATGATTTCTGAAATCATTTCTTCAGACGTTGGAATGGCACTGGTAGCTAAATGATCATCAATGGCGACAAATTCATCAATATCAATTTCTTCGCTAAGTGAAACATCTTGGCGAAGAATCCACTCTGTTAACGGAATCTCATCTTCAGCTTCAAAGTCGGTATTAAGCCAGCCAGAATGCCTAAAGCAGTTACGAATTACTTCTTCCGAAACAAGTGACCAAGCTTCATTTACGTAAAGAATTGCATCAAGAACAGTAGTCTTAGGCATAACATCTATATCATTTTCCAACCTTTCAATTATGCGCTTTAATAAAAGTTTTCTATATTGCGTTTTCAATGAACGTATAACTCCCTGATCCATAGGTTGAAGAACAGACGATGCATTGGGTGGTAGAAAGAATAATTTGATATTTTTTAATTCTTTCTTTAACTGTGGATGGGCTGTACAGTTGTCAACAATAAGAAGGATGCGTCTCTTGGTTTTAACTAGTTCTTTATCCCAGTGAAGAAGTTCTTTTTTAAACAATTTCGCTGTCATCCACGCTTTTTTGTTGGCCTTGTACTCTACAGGTAGATTTTGGACTTCTTTAAAACATCGGGGCTTAGCTGATTTTCCAATTACAAAAAGCCTCTTTTTATCAGTACCGGTCATGTTCGCGCACACCCAGACAGTAATTCTTTCCTTTGACAATTTTCCTCCAACGCACGGTTCATTTTTAAATCTTAAAGTTTTGTCAGGTGTTAGTTTGTAGTATAGCCCCATTTCATCTCCATTAAAAATATCTTTTTCATTGTAACCAATACTTGCAGCTGCAAATTTTTTTAACCAGTCCTCAACGGCCCTTTTGTCCACACTTTTAGCTTCCCCACAGATCTTTGCACACCCGATATTATGTCTTTTTTTAAACCTATTAAGCCACCCCACGGAACATTTAATAGTTGGGGAATTATCGATTGTTTCAACAATGTTTAGGGCTTTTTCCCTAACAAGACAGCCACTAATTGGTACATTGGAAGCACGATTAGAGGAAAACCATTTAACCAATACTTTTTCCATCTCCGGATTCTTTGAGGGTCGCATCTTTTTCACTTTTGACGAAAATGTTTCACTTCCCAATAAAATTTTGTGTTTGTTTTTGATGATTGTCGCAAGTGTCGAACTAGCCAAGCCAGTTTCGCGGCAGATATCTGCCTTCTTCATACCGTCATCTATTTTTTTGAGTATTTGAACCTTGTATTCTAAGGACAACGCTTTTCTTCTTGGTGTCATATCAAAAATTGGTAAAATAGAAAAATTTTAACTGACACTATACCTATTGTCTTGATGACAGCTCGTGACAGTTTAAAAAAAGCAAAGGGGACTATTCAATAATTGAAGGGACCAGCGATTAGCTCGTTATAGCGGGATTTTCGTTATATCGCGTACTCGTTATATCGAGATTCAACTGTATTAGTATTATTTACAGATAATTCCCTGACTTTTCCCTGACTTTTCGTTTTTTCTTTAAATTCCCTGACTTTTCCATGACTTTTTAGACTCATTTTATATTCCCTGACTTTTCCCGAATTTTGGGTTGCTGATTTCAAAAATGCCACTCGTTTGCTCCAGGACGTCTAGGATTCGAAATAATTGCGTTATTAATTATTTATTAAATTATTTTGCCTTAAATCTATTTTAGATGTTCAGTATATTTTTGACGTTTTTGGTCAAAAATATACAGGGACTCCATACAAAGTCATCACAATAATACTAAAATCCAATAAGATTTAATAAATTTAAGGTATACCAATTACTTTAGTACATTCAAGATAAATTTAAGCTATAATAATAATAACAAAAAAACTTACATTTTGAGGTGATTGAGCAGAGCATTTTATTACGAAATTATTTTAAATAATAGACTTCCTAGAGAAAAACGATTGACATTAGTTAAACTAAGCTTGAGTACTAAATGTTAGAAAAAAAAAGTTTCTAAAACTATTATAGTGTAATTAATATTGTGAATATAGGTGCGATAGGAAATTTTGATATGAAAGTAACTTCTTTAGTTAAAGTTAAAAGATGAGGCTACAAAAAAAATGTTAAAAACATTAAGAAACAATAAAAAAAAGGTTTTAAAGAACGACGTTATATTTGTTGCTTAGTTTATTTTAAATCTATCTAGACACATCAAGACATTTAATATACAGGGTGTCCCAGAACTCGCGCCACAGAGAAAAAGGGGGCGTGCCGATAGCAATGGAGATGCTAAATTTAAAAATAAAAAATTTCTAGGTAATAGTGTAATCGAATGAGAGCAAAAAAGCGGTAGCCAATACCGAGAGAGCTCGCCTAGGTTAAACGTAGGAGCTTTAAAAATTGCTAGGAGACGATGGAACATTGTTGTATTAAAAACATTTAAAAATCTTTTGGCCAACTGTATTTACTAAGTTGTCAAAAGCTTTCAAAAAATGAGGTTATAAATCTATGACTGATACTTCAGAACGCCAATGTTTTAAAGTAAAAAATCAAACCAGTTGTACTTTATTTAGCTTTTTTTGCGCCCACGCTCCCCATAAATAGTTCATCATTTCGGTATAATCATCAAGGAAAACATTATTTATAATATATTATCTAATATAATATTAATGACAAAAGTAAAGATTGACAGCATTGTCAATAATAACTTAATTTATAACCTAATATAATATTAATGACAGAAGTAAAGGTTGACAGCAGTGTTTCAATGAATTGGATTCCAGTGGCCCAAATATTTTACATATTTTTTATTATCAACAATGCAACCTAAGGGTATGTTCCGTAAATACACACGAGTTACCGGTCTGGTTACTGAAATAAATTCCTGGTTTTCTCGGTTAGTTCATATTTACGGGACATCTTCATGTGCAGTAACCACATGAAAATATACCTTCCTAAAAATTAAACATGTCAAGATTTTTTATTGAAACTTTTATTTGTGTCAAAAACTACAACTTGCATATATTTTTAATAATATTTCTATAGTTACATAAACAAACCTAAAACACCCTATACTGAATTCAATTATTTTTGGACAAAACGTATTTTGTATGCGAAGTCTGCTCCTGTGTTAAATTTTTAGGTTAGATAACCAACAAAAAACAGTAATTTTGTTTAGGGCAACACTGTTTCCATTTGGTTTGCAGCACTGGTAACCGATTTAACCGATCATACAGCGTCGGTCGTTTCGGTAACGATTCAATAACCTTTTTTTCAGGAACCGCGTTTCTTAACTACATAATTTTCAGGAATTTTTCATTTACGGGACACCCTAACCGAAACCAAACCAACCAAGTTGACTTACGGAACATACCCTAAGTATCCTAGCAATTTAAAGAATTCCCTGTGGTGATCTATTGGGATTGGCTATCGTTTTTTATTCTTATCTCCCTTATCCTTTGCGTTGGACAATTTGAATTTTTAAATATGTGTTTCAAATTACTTTCGGTACGTTCCCTTTTTCTCTGTGGCGCGAGTTCTGGGACACCCTGTATATTTACAATAAATTTTATATTTTTTATACTTACATGCGTCGTGTCGTCGTTCTTGTACTCTTCGGTTCTATCTAAGCTGAACTGCCTTCTCAGCAGTTTGCCGACCCTTTGTTTGGGACTCAAACATTTATAATGGCTGTAGGGTGTGCTGATGTCTTCCTCGTCGATTTTTCGGTGCCTCCTGAATCCGCAAAGCGAACTCGTCGAGGCACCTAGCAGTGCCGCTGCCACTTCCGACGCTGAGACAGGGGTACCCAGGGGTATTGGCGTGTCACTTGATGTGCTTTTCACCATATGGTAGTCCGATCTACAAGAATAATGAAAACAATTGGTCAGCTTCGGGTAAGGTGGATAATTGGGGAACTACGGGTTAGATGGATAATTGGGGACCTACGGGTAAGGTCTAAGGGCAAGATCTTAATTAGCCAAATGTTTACTTTTTTATAGTTTTCCTAATTCATTGTCATTTTACTTACACACTGTTTAAAATATCTGTGGTGTAAAAAGTTATCTTAAAATGGTGTCAAAATCCAACACCAAGTGGTGTTAATTTAACCACCATGAATTATGGTTGAAAATGTTATATACATCAAACACCAAAACGGTGTTTATCTAAAAATATTTGAGAAGTGCACCTACACAGAAAAAAAGGAATAGTTCGTTTAACTATATTAATTTAGTTGACTCATAAGTATTTATTTAATATAAACAAAGATTAGTTTGACGGTACTAAACCAGATAGTTATTTTTTTTTAATTGGTTAAATTAACACAGAAAGCTTTAGTGAAACCAACCCGCTGTATGGTTCAGTTTACTAAATATGTTGTTTGTAAAATAAGAGTTACTTCAACCTAAAGCAATCTGTTAAAACGATTAAAACAATTTACCGTGCATTCCTTGTTGCAAGTGTGTACCGATCGCAGCAAAGGCGATGTGGATCACGTGATGTTCTTAAATCTCGCCTCTGTTGACTTACATGAAGAGTATATAAGCTCAGGTAGTCCTTTGCTTTGGTGTGACACTACAAGTTGTTCAATACTAAAGAGACCTTAAATAGGTGGAAACAGCTTTCAATACGGAAGTATTTTAAGTTGGTGGAACGCACTAAAAACATTATCTCTAGCGAGTTGAAGGTTCAATTTTCTGGAATAATACCACTGGTAATATACTAGTAATGCATCAGGAACTTCCTTTTTTTCTGTGTAGCATGATTTAATTTGACCAAAAACACATAATATTTAACACTGAAAAGGAGTTCAATTTACACCAGGTAAAATTTATTTTAATACTGTGTGAAAGTTAAATTTACACTATTTTAGTTTTTGAATTTACACCGGACCAACAAACCATATTTAACACCAAAATCCTAAAAATTAAATGAAAAATTGTGATGTTTTGTGTATGTATTATGGTAAGGACCTATTTTATATCTATATAAGATGTTGCCCAAATCACAATTCACAAAACAAGGTCTGTTCGATCTCGTAGTAAAAATACTAAAAATCACTGCAACACTGCACATCATACGATGGCGGCCGTTTTTGTTGTTTACAATTCTTGTGCTTTGGGTTTGTGCAGTTTAAAAATTGTTTTAAACATTATGTTTCTTACAGAGACCTCAAAGTGGTAAGAACAATTATTTTACTCCTCTTTTGTAAAAAATAAACCTTATTCTATCAAATGTCAATTTGAGGGTTAATTTGTGGGTTATAAAATAACCCTAAATTAACCTTAAAATTGACATTTGATAAAATAAGGTTTATTTTTTACAAAAGAGCAATAAATTTATTGTTTGAGGTCTCTTTGAAGGCTTGCAAGTGTCTCTGTTAGAAACACAACGTTTAAAACGATTATTAATCTGTACAAACCCAAAGCACAAGAATTGTAAACAACATATTTCATAAGTTAAAATGGATTTTTTGGTTTTGCACGTTTGCTCCATAATTGATCAAAAGGAACACGTGTCGCTGAGGTTTTTTTCTAGATAATTTGGGAAATTCAAAATGTTTTTTTTATGATTTTTTTTGTTGAGTATAATTGAGGATATGAGGATAATATAATTATTATATTATATTAAAGGAAACAAAAAGCATAGGAATTTTGGCACAAGAGGTGAAATATATTATTTTACACATTATACCAGTTCCCGGATCGGATTGGCAATAGGAAAAACTTTTTTAGACCTGATACAGCTCAACCACGCACGGATTTGGAATCTACGACCAAAAATTATGTTAACATGTCCGAGCGTTTAGCGGTGATATTTCAAGAGTTGAAAATGTACCTAATAAAACACTGTTATTTATAGTTAAATTGTTAAAAATTATTTAAAAACATGCATTTTAAATTTATTTTTTAGTTTAAATATTTGTTTTTGCATAAATATTTAACTGTGCATAACTAATTCTAAATGTTTTTATAAATTACAAACTTAGGAGATGTAAAATATCTTTTCTAAACTTGCCTATGGGTATAGCAAACAAAGGTTAATACAAATTTATTCCAACCCTAAGATCTTCCTTTTTTAACAAATGTAAATTCGAACCAAATTAAATTTAATTTAAATTTCTTTAACATATATACACACCTACACCCCAATTTCAGCATATACATGTAAAGTTTGTTTAAAAACTGCAGTTTACATGTGTCTTCCAACTACCACGACCTTAATTTCCACTTCATTCAGTAAATTCTTTGCTTACCTTTGAAATACTGTATTTCAAAGGTAACAAAGCAATACCTATATTGTTTTGGTTTAACAACCAACATAGGTTAGAAATAAATAAACGAGTATTTATATCTAATTTTAATTTCAGTTTTTAACAAAATTAAACTTTGTATTTTAATTCAATTAAATGTTAAAATGTTAATGAGGTTTAAGCATAATACAATTTTTAACACTACTCTAATTCAGGCACTACTACCTTACCTTTTTTTATTTAATCTGTAAAAAGATATTAAAATATAAAAATCTGTGCTTTTTTAATAATGTTGTGTAACTACAGAATTTAAAGTTATTTTTTTGACATTTTATCTGACATATGACATTTGTCAAGTGGTTTTAAATTTACTTTTTACTAATATGATAACTCTGAGACGGTTTTAACCTCGATTTAATGCACTAGTGCATTGAGTAACTTAATACACTAATGTAATAAATGAAGGAGTAGATAAACTGTTTATTAAAACGTTTACAGTAAAATACATTTATTTTTAAGCATTACGGGTCTAAGGATATGTGGTATCTAAACTGCGCACCACTCAATGTGTCGCGACCAAAAAGTTCGTCCTTTTTAAAAACGACTTTTTGTTTCTTAAACGATTTTATTTTGGTCTGTAATGTCTAATAGCCCCATCCTCTGGCAATTCATGCTATAGCCACGATTCTTCAAGTAAATTTCCTACAGGGTGATATGTAAAACGGTGAAAAGTTTAAATAACTTCATCCAAGCCCCGTTTGAAAAAAAAATATTTTTTCTCGTTTTTACTTTGAAATAATGAAGTATTCTGTCTTACCTTGAAAGGGATTTCAAATTTTTCGAATTGGAATCTTAGCAACGAAAATATGATTTTTTTCCAAAAGAGTACATTTAACAGATTTTGGTAGTCAATACACTCATATCAGTCTTTTTAAGAACAAGAAGATAAAATGGTAAAAGATTGTTCCTTGAATAATTCTGAACAAGCGACAAGCAACAAACTTCCATTATTTTCAGAGGGGCCTAAGCAAAGACCACTTTTTCAAAATGACATTTTGATGAAAATTTGCGAAAACTAAACCTGAACCGATATTTACGTTCCTTCGTTCTTTATAATTTTGACCTCCTGATTGTGATTCAGTTGTCAAATTTAAGTTTCAGTTAAAACCAAAATCACCAAGAATTAAAATTCGAAAACAATTTCCGGCTGTTAAATGTCTTAATAAAATCAAATTACTGCAATTTGTTTGAGTGGTTAGGATAATGCTACATAAGTTACATTTACATTGCGCACTAGTGCATCATGATAACTTATCACTGATAAGTACCTACCTAATTATGAATAAAACATGCCACGAACGTAAATATCGGTTTAGGTTTAGTTTTCTTAAATTTTCACCAAAATGTTATTTTGAAAAAGTGGTATTTGCTTAGGCCTTCTGAAAATAATAGAAGTTTGTTGCTTGTCGCTTGTTCAGAATTATTTAAGGAACATTATTATCTTCTTGTTCCTAAAAAGACTGAGTGTGTTGCCTACAAAAAAGCCTTAAATGTACTCTTTTAAAAAAAATCATATTTTAGTTGCCAAGATTCCCATTCGAAAAATTTGAAATATACTACAAGGTAAGACATAATACTTCATTATTTTAAAGTAAAAACGAGAAAAAAATTATTTTGTTACAAACGGGGCTTGGATGAAGTTATTAAAATTTTTCACCGTTTAACATATCACCCTGTAGGAAATTTACTTAAAGATCCGTGAGCTCATATCTATAGCATAAATTGCCAAAGGATGAGGCTAGCAGACAACACAGACCAAAATAAAATAGTTCAAGAAACAAAAAAGTTATGTCGTTTTGAAAAAGAACGAACTTTTTGGTCGCGACACATTGAGTGGTGCGCAGTTTATATAACAGGTAATAAGTACATGGATAAAACTTAAACTTGAACTAACTAACCAACCAGAGCTGGGAGTATCTTGAAAAAAAAGATACTCGAAAGTAACTAAAAAGTATCTAAGATACTTTTTAAAGTATCTTGTAACTAATGATACTTTTAACTCAAAGTATCTAGTTACTAAAGGTAACTAACTTATTTTGTTTAAAATAACTACATAATTTGCATATTCCGCTCTCGTGAAACCGTCAAACTCGCCTTCGGCTCGTGTGACAAACTCTTCACTCGAGCGGAATATGCTGAATTCCAAACTTGTTACAGAATATACTATTCCCAGCTATGTAACCAACCAATCCGATTAGAGGTGAAAGCGTTGAAAACTCTTCGGCCTTTACCAGTTTAATGCATTTTACTAAGAATTAAACGTTCTACAAAAGTGCCAATTGCAGCGTAACTATAACTTTGAATGTATAACATTTTTGTTTCTTTGCTGTTATTTTATAAATGTAAAAAAATTTATTTAAAAAATTTATTATTTTTTTTTTACTAGAATTAATATTTCTCGAGATATTAAGCTTTGACGTATTTATGAAATTAACTTCCTTACTAGATAATCTGTAAAAAAATCATATCACAAGTTCAATATCTCCAGAAACATCAATCAAAGTGGTTAAAGGTACTTTTATCAATTACAAAATAAATTATGATTGGATTATTTCTTTGCGCATGATTTGGAAAATTGTAAAAAAATCATCAAGATATTTTCTTTAAAATAGGAACTGTTGCTGACGTAACCCAAATAACCTTTAACTTAAAGTAAAGAATTTGGTCTTATACAATAAAAGATAGAGGACGCGTATTTAGATTAGTTGGAAATGTTGAAAAGTATTATCCAAGCTGTGAACAGTTTCATGCATAATTTAATTATAAATGACATCATTCTAAATAAAATACCGTAAAAAATATCTTTTTAAATAAGCTTTTATTTATAAACTATTGAATTAAAAAATTAAACATATTATTTAGTATTATACTATACTAGTATACTATAATAGTTAGTATGCATTTTACGAAAAAATGTTTAAAATAAAAATTAAATGATTCGTACTAAAATCAGTACTAAAATTGGTCCTCATACTCTCCTCCTTATAGGGAGAACAGGGAGTAACTTTAAAATTTCCTATGGTACACCCTATTTTTTATTGATTCGGATAATTCGACTAAAAAAAGGTCGATTTTGTCTAAAACATTTTTTCATATTTGTAATAGGTGGCGCTGTAATGAAAAAAAATCAATTTTCTTCGATTTTTCTTCTTATATGATTCTTCAATAATTTTTTTATAAAAATATCACTGTTTTTTAATAATTATCTTATTAAATTAAATTTGTTTTTCAAGTACCCAAGATTTTTTAACTAATATTTAAGTTTTCTTTGGTTTAAGCTTTATATATTATGTCATTCGGTGATAATAATTGATAATTATTATCAATTGCGCACCATGGTCACTTTTTACCTGCCAGCATTAAATCCTTTAATTTAAAGGATTATTGTAATATTTTTGATAAAAATACCTCATTTAAGGTAAAAAAAAAACATTATTTTATCAATTAATTAATTTAATCCTAATTGAGGTATACAAAAATGGTATTTAATTATAAATATTAATTATTATTGAGGTATAAAGAAACTATTTATACATAGTTTAGCATTATTTGATCAATTTAGTTTCAAGATTAATTTGCAAACAAAAAGACCTCTTTTCGTTAAGCAGTTATTCATAATGGATTTTTTAACAGTGGAAGAAAAAATAGAAATGATTTTGATTTATGGAGAAGCAGGCAGGAATCTTGATGATGCTGTTAGTATCTACGCTCAGCGTTTTCCGGAAAAAAATCGATCACGTACTTCATTTCACCGTACAGTCAAGCAGTTTACTACAAACGGGAGTGTTCAACCGAAAAAAAGAGTTGTCTAAAATTTTTTCGTAAAAAGCATACTAACTGAGATATTTCAAAGTTTCAAGTTAAATGACTTACCCTGTATACACCTATATATAGGTTTAAAAGTACAATAATTCTTAATTAATTAAAGATTTATAATTATTATAATATTTATCAAAAATACAATAAAATAGTGATTGGTTTGAGTTAGTTTTGGTATAAAATAAAAAAAATATCCGTGACCTATTCCTTAGACCCATGATGATTGTGGATGTAATGACCTAAATTAAAATCCTGAATATCTTACCGGCTTGTTGAGTCGCTGTCGACTGTTTTGGTAAGGCTGGAAAATTTTGAGTGTTCCATCGTCCGCATGAACGAAGGTTTCACGTTGGGCACTTTATTAGCTACTTCGTCGACCTGATGCTTCGAGTCTAACGAGGTGCAATCGCCTATCGAGTTGGCGGCCTCTTCGTTCTGACTAATCGCCGACATTGATTTGCTTATCACCAGACTCTCTTCCAAACTAAACGAGAAAACCCTAAATTATAAGGTTGAAAAATCTAATCTTCCTACTATTTATTTAAGAACCACTTAATTTGAAAATGTGTGTAAAATTAAGTTGGGAAGTTTTTAACATTTATAAAATAAATAAATAGGTACTAAAATTAAATTATAGTTATTTATGGTACTAGTGTGTTATGTTGAAAATAAGTCACGCGAGGAAACATAACCCACGATTGTCATACAATGTTTTATCCAACAAGTGGAAGAAATCGCTTTTTATGAGATAATAATTAATAAGCTTTGTGATCAAATCAAAGCTACTTGCGTCTCAGTACCCTATAAATGTCCGAATGACTTGACAGTAACTTTTTTACATTTTGGTCAAAGTAGGTTGTTTGTTTGGTTGCCACGGGCATGATACATTGTTAGCAAATGTTTAAATAAATTTTGACACTTGTCAGTTTTCCCCGCAGAAAAGGTAGAGAAAACCGTTAAAAATTACGTTCCTAAGGATATCCTTACGGAAGCGGAAGAAGCAGCGATGCAGATTTTGCCAGAAAAGTCCCGAGATGCTTACGACAAGGAGTTCAAAATGTTTGAGTCTTGGATGAATTCACGGAAGATAAAAGGCCTATTTTTTATATTTGCAAAAAAATTAGCCCCATCGTCGCTATGGACCAAATACTCGATGCTTTGCTCGACTATTCGCCTTTATAAAAAAATCGACAATTCAAAATATGGCAAACTAACGAGCTTTTAGAAAAGCAAATCACCGGGATACAAACCAAGAAGTCCAAGTCATTAGAACGACCTAAAATAGAGAAGTTTTTGAACAAAGCTCCCGACGACGAGTACCTGTTGATGAAAGTGGCTTTGATAATGAGGATTAGCGGTGCTTGTAGATGCGATTAATTGGTCAATTTGAAAATAGAAAATATTCAAGACAAAAGAAAAAATTTTCACGTAGTTTTGCCAGACACTAAAACCAAGAAATTGAGAAGTTTCACCATACTTTAAGAAGGATTTCTACCCAACCCGAACAATTTGTGTAAAAAATACATGTCTTTGAGACCAAAGAATAACTAGTTCTAGCCGCTTTTTTGTTTTTTACAAAAATGGGTGTAAGTACCAGCCAGTGTGTGGGAATAAATACGTTTTCAAAGATACCTTGAAGAATTGTAATGTTTTTAAAATGGAGGAACCAGCGCTCTACACCGGTCACTGCCTGAGAAGGTCTTCGGCGACTCTTTTGGCCAATGCTGGGCCTAAATGACTACTTTAAAGCGTCACGGAGGATGGAAGTCCTCGACGGTAGCAGGAGGATACCTAGAAGAATCGGTGCATAACAAAATAAAAATTGCAGAAAAAATACAAGGTTCTAATGCTTCAGCGTCTTACAGCACTATCAGCAGCTGTACCGATATGGGAGCGTCTGGTTCCAATAAACCAACGAATTTTACAATGACTTCAAATTCGAATAAACCGTTAGCGTTTTCCTTTAATTTCAACATCAATGTGAATTCTGCTTGTAATAGTAATAAATAAATAGAATACTACTTTAAATATGAACGTGAGGTATAATCCATAACTCACTAGTGAGTTGCTAATGCTAACATCCTTAAACACAATATTGATTGGGAGCTCTTAATGTAAGGACAAATTAATGGGCTCAGAGTAATGGAGTGCAATAGATTTGGTAGTGAATTTGTCACCGGCAATCTATTATTTGCAGAGGATCGTATATTATCTTGCAGTTTACTACGAGTCACTTAAGCCAAAATTCACTATTACGTATGTAATAAAAAGAAAATCCAATATGTGCACAGGAGTTGTGAAATAAATGTATTAAATTCACATTTAATTTAATATATGGATAATATTGTGTATATTGTAAGAAGAGACAGGATTCTTGTGACATGATTGCTTTATGCTATTTTATCTATTTTGAAAAAATTCTATAAAAAAAATTAATGTTATACCTAGGTCTGTGGTTATACCTTATATTTAATTTCGTCGAATTTTACTTTAGATAGTTGGTATCACAGTCATTGGTTTGACAGTTAATGTCAAAATCGATTCGCCATGTCCTTAATTTACTTATTTACAATAAGCGGCTGTTAGTGTTAAAGAAGAAAAAAAAGGAATTTCTTTGGTGTTAAACAAAATTTATTGCCAGAAAAATCTTGTAAGTAATATTATAACCAATATGCAAAATATTATTTTACTAGTATGCTGTTTAAAGTAAAGCGAACCTATAAAATCTATAAAATCTTGGGTGGGGTAGTAATCTCATTACAGCAGCACCGAAAGCGGTGTTATAATGAAGTCATTATGAACTCAAAATAGATAAAATTATTTTATGACAATTTTGATTAAAATTAAATTCATTTTTGGCTTTTTCCTTTTTAAATTTCGTCGGCCTTATCACGAACTAACCCAATTAGCATTTTGTAAATTTTACAAGATAGCAGAAAAAACGAAATGACCGTTATTTATATTGACATAATATGCTGTGTTGTCTGTACTATTGAAGATTTGAACTCTTCATAATATAAGGCAATCACGGTTCGTCAGTTTAAAATTTTTTTTGAAAACATCCATATTGGGGATAGGTATATTTTGAATCTACATAACTTCTGCTTTGAAATAATTAAAGTAAAAAAATGTTTTAGCGGTCATTTTTTTTTATTTATAAAAATGTTTACGGCAACTAAAACTATATTCATCAGCTACCAGCTATCAAAAATAGTTTTTTTCAAATTATATACACATATTAAGTAACTATTTCACAAGAAAACATTTTTATTTTTGTGTCTCTTACATGGCCTGAGTAACGGTACATTTTGTCAATGTAAACGAGTTTTTTATTCAAACACTCGTTTAACCCCCGAATTTTTAAGCGTTATCTTTGTATTTTCTAATAAATCCCCTTTCTCTTCAATACCTAAACATACTTTAAAAAACCCTCCCCTGTCTATACCAAATTTTAAAACATATTCTTTAGTAATTTTTCTTTCTTCTAATAGGTACATACAATACAATAAGAGCAGGAAGATTATCGCAAAATACACTGACATGGAAATTAGTTCTTGTTTTTTTTAAGTTGTTGTCTATACATTGAAATAAATGGTTTGGGTTAAATAAATACAATAGATTTTTCTAATTTGGACAAATTTGGCTCAATATTTTTTTAATATTTGAGTTTTTTTAAGATTCTTGCAACTTTCAAAGTTTTATTGGCCCTTAAGTTAATTAACTGTTGTATTTTTAAAAATGAAGTGGAAGAAAAAACTGTATTATTTTCTGAAGCACTGGATTCAGGCTTATCCTTTTCTATTATTGTCAAGCATTTCCCACAACAACAAATTTTTTTATTTTTTTATTTAAATGATATTTTAATTCCTACTTTATTGTTAATTGTATACAATTAGCCGCCAAAAAAATCTTACAATAGCAACTTTCCATTAAATTTATTTGTGGCATTTGATTAATTAAAAAATTTAATTCTATTTTCTCACCATTTTAAATTTTTTTAAATTTTGCTCGACAGCTAATGCATAAACTGGATCCAAATTTTTTTTGCTCACATCAATTTTTTCGTTGAAATTATCTTGTAGAACTTTTTCTTTTCTTTTATTTACTTTTCTTATTTAACTTTTTCTTTTTTTATAACAAATAAGATACACAAGCCTCTTCAGGTTTTAGGATTATTGTTTTGCATATTGGCTATAATATTTTAATGATTTTTTTAGTACTTACGAGACTTTTCTGGCATTAACAGCCGCTTATTGTAAATAAGTAAATTAGGGACGGCATGGCGAATCGATTTTGACATTAACTGTCAAACCAATGACTGTGATACCAGCTATTTAAAGTAAAGTTTGATCAAATTAAATATAAGGTGTAAAGTTAATTTTTTTTATAGATTTTTTGCAAAATTGATAAAGTAGCATAAAGAACTTATGTCATAAGACCTTTTGTCGCACGCAATTTATATATAAATTTTTATAAAACGAGCGACATTATTTCTTTAATATACTACATTAAGACGCTAGTTTTGAAAAAAATAAATTGTTAGGTTAAAAAGTAGTATTTATTGTCCAAATATTGACCTGTCGATTCTGGAAATAGAAAAGGTGGTAGTTTTTACGTTTTAACGCACTGTATGTGTTTACAATCTTCTGTATTGTCTAAAATAATGAAGCCTTTAAACCCTTAAAATTAAATTATTGACTTTAAAAGACCGGAAAGCTATATTAAGTTACATACCTACAAGATGAAAGGGTAAATAACAACTTATTATATGTATAGCTTATAAACGCTTAGTGTACCTACTACCTACTAACTAATACTTACCCATGACTTTCTCTGATTACAGACATAAACAACGATAAAATTATAAAGTTAATAAAAAAACTTAAACTTTAGTGTGCCATTCTCACATGTACAAGGTGTGTTCAGAAAATAACGGGAATTGTTAAATTTCGCGGCTTCGGAGGGTCCGGTTGTCATAAAATTTTCTTTATTATGCTGGTATACATGCCCCCGAAGTATGATAAAAACTTTAGCTGTTTTCATTGTTTACTTTGTCTGTGTCAGCCGCTAAGGTTAGACGTGTTTTATGAGCTGGGCGATTTTTCCTTCGTTAAAAGAAATGGATCAAAGAATTTGTATCCAATTTTGCTTAAAAAATGAAATAAATTCTGTGAAATGTTAACAAAGGCGTATAGTGAGTCTGCAATAAGTAAAACAAGAGTTTCCAAGATGGCCGTGAAGACGTTGAAGATGACGAACGCCCTGAACGCACAAGCACATTAACAACCGATAAAAACATGGAAAAAGTGGAAGAAATGGTTATAAACCATCAGAGAAGTCGCTGATGATGTTGATATATGGATTAGCTCATCCCATGAAATTTTTTTGAATGTTTTGGGTATGAAACGCGTGGCAGCAAAATTTGTTCTAAAATTGTTAAATTTTGAACAAAATTTTTGGCCAAAAACAATTATTATAGTAGAGGATCCCAAGTAAGGTCGACCTTCACCCATCTGCTTACCAGATGAAAATTATATTTTATCAAATAAAATATGTTTCTGAACATAAACCAATAGGGTTGCCATAAAAAATATGATCAAGGCTAGCTATAATAAATAAAAAAAAAAAAAAATAATTAATTTTTTAAATTTCACCGACTTGCTTGCCAAATGAACGAAATTCCAATGGAAAGCATACAACATACAGAATATGTAACAGCTAGGTTGCCTACCTTTTTCTGGTCCCTATTACCTGGTTGCTTTGTACAGGGTGATCCCCTATAATGTCGCCCCCCTTTAACTTTTTTATTTTAAGTGTCCCAAAAAATTTAAAAGTTTGGTTATGTAGGTACTAAAAAATACTTTTTTTCTACGTATAAAGAAAATTGGAAAATTGATCAGTATACAGGGAAAAACAAAAAGTTTATTTTTTTTCAATGGATCACCGTATATATGAATTTATTTTTCGATTCCTTGTAAAATTCTGAGCATAATTTATATAACAAACCATATACCTAAATTCAACCGTTTCTGAAATATTCGCATTCGAAATGTCATCATTACCTAAATGTTTTTTTAAACTGTTAGAAATCAAGAAGCCTCAGTATACCAAAATTTTTATTGAAAATAAATTACTATAGTGACATTATGTCAATAAGTGTTGTTAAATAAGTAAAAATGGCGTACTCAGACAGAGAAAAACAAACTATTTCAACTTATTATCTTAAAAATAATTTAAATATTTCAGAAACGGTTGAATTTAGGTATATGGTATGATATATGAAATATGCTTAGAATTTTACAAGGAATCGAAAAATAAATTCATATATAGGGTGATCCATTGAAAAAAATAAACTTTTTGTTTTCCCTGTATACTGATCAATTTTCTAATTTTCTTTATACGTAGAAAAAAAGTATTTTTTAGTTCCTACATAACCACAGTTTTAAATTTTTTGGGACACTTAAAATAAAAAAGTTAAAGGGGGGCGACATTATAGGGGATCACCCTGTACAAAGCAACCAGGTAATAGGGACCAGAAAAAGGTAGGCAACCTAGCTGTTACATATTCTGTATGTTGTATGCTTTCCATTGGAATTTCGTTCATTTGGCAAGCAAGTCGGTGAAATTTAAAAAAATAATTATTTTTTTTAAATTTTTTATTTATTATAGCTAGCCTTGATCATATTTTTTATGGCAACCCTATTGGTTTATGTTCAGAAACATATTTTATTTGATAAAATATAATTTTCATCTGGTAAGCAGATGGGTGAAGGTCGACCTTACTTGGGATTTTAGACTAAATACTGTAATGATGACCCAGCCTCCATATTCGCCAGATATGCCTCTGTCTGACTTTTTCCTATTTCCAAAAATAAAGAGAACCTTAAAGGACCGTCGTTTGCAAGCATAGATGACATTAAAAGCGCATCGCTGAAAGAACTAAAGGCTATCCCAAAGATCCAGTTTTAGAAGTGTTTCGAGTATTGAAAGAAGAGCTGGCACATGTGCCTAATATCCAATGGGGACTATTTTGAAGGCGACAATATTAATGTAGACGAATAAATAAATATTTGTTTCAAAAAACGAAAATTCCCGATATTTTCTAAACACTCCTCGTACATGCATATAATGGAATTTATAAATTTATAGGTTGATTTACAATAGGTCTTTTTACATGGTCTTAATGATTGAATAAGAAAAAAAATTTCATATCAATGTATTGGCCTGCTACCTCTTTATTTTGTAAATATAGGATTTTAAAAATTAAAAAAAAAATAGGTTTTAGGCTTGAAGTTTGACATTTTTGTAGTTACATATATTACATTTATTTATATTTCATGCATACATTTTAGATAAATAAATAAAGTACCATTAAATAAATATTATTTATTTATTATTTAAGTCAAAATAAAAAGCTTATTTTAATAAAATTAATATCTAATATTCTTACTTACTTTAATGAAGGTGGGACAGGTAATTCCTTATCGAACCCATCCTTGCCTAACAGCCAGTAGGTATCCATTGTACCTTTGCCTTTTATTTCAGTAGGACCTCTATATTCTATATGATATCCTCCAGCATGTTCCAAATATGCTTTTGTGGCTTCTGACATGTGAATTCTCCAAGCCGCACCTTAAGGACATAACTATATTGTTAAAACAGTTATGCAAAAATATTCTATGTTTTATGAATAAAGTTTGAACCAATTTTATTTGATATCATGGCTCTACCCCCGCTTAGTTTTAATATATAAAAAGGATGTTATTTAATCATCCTTGAACCTTTAATTCGCTACGTTAAAATTAGGTTAACAAAGGTGTTTTGAAATTTTAAAACTCATTACCTTATATTCAGAATGAGTTTTGCATTTATAATTTGCTTTTATAATATTGTATATTAGGGTGGCCCAAAAAAAAAGAATATTTTTTTTCTCTCGTCTCTTGTGGAAATATGTTGGTTAGTCATGTTTTAAGAGCCCTGTCAAAAGATCAGCTCCATTAAAAAAAATTTTTAGGGGTCCCTCAAGATTTTTAAAAATTTCCAAAATCGTCAAAAATTGGATTTTTTTTTATTTTAATTTTTTTTCTCGTTCCAAAATTATTTTTTTAATTAAAAATAATAATGATTCTGAAAATTTCAAATCGATATTTTGATTTCTAAAGGTCGCTCAAGATTTTTTTAACTTTCAAAGTACAGTATTTTGAATGTTTTTCAGTGACCTTTAGAAATCAAAATATTGATTTGAAATTTACAGAATATTTATTATTTTCAACCAAAAAAATAATATCGAGACGAGAAAAAAAATTAAAATAAAACAAAAATTCAATTTTTGACGATTTTGAAAATTTTAAAAAATCTTGAGCGACCCCTAAATTGTTTTTTAATCTAGCTGATATTTTGACAGGGATCTTACAGCATGATAAACTAACATATTTTTACAAGAGACTAGTAAAAAAATATTCTTTTTTTTTGGGCCACCCTATTGTATATATTAAATTTTCTCAAAGAAATAACCTAATAACCAAAAATTAAAATAATTTAATTTAATCTAAATTCATATTAGTTATAAAAAATAATGTATAAGAGTGAATATATTGAGATGTCCCCAAGTAAAAATGATTATTTTTTATTTTTGGTTGTTTCACTGTTAGTTTTTGGGAAGCCCGATGATGTTACCCCGTGATATTTAATAAAACTAAATGAGTTTGACCTACACTTTAATTGTGTTTTGATCTTTCATAATTAAGTAGATATTACAGCTCAGGTTCCAGATTTTTAACCGCAATTAATTATTTTTAAAATGTCTAAAACCTATCCTCCGTGACTTCTAATATCTGAGGTAGTAAAAGCATACTAAAAATATCAGTTCACAAAGTAAATTAAACACATCCAAAGCAATCAAATCAAATATTATTAAAAATTTAAAGAAATAATTTTTATAACCATTTATGTGGGTATAGGGTTGGGACAGTTGAAATTTTCAAATGAAAATTTCAACTTTGAAAGTTTCAAACTTGAAATATTTCATTTAGTTGGAAAAGTAAAATTTTTAAAAATTTCAAATGAAATTTTCAATTCGAACATTTCAACATTGCCTGTGAAACTTTCAGAAATTTCATTGAAAGTTTCGAAATTTACTGAAAATTTCGCATAAATTTCACATGCAGCCTCCCCTGGGACCTTTAATAATAATTTACAACAGATTCCGAATCGACCAATAAGAACGAGTTATCAAGGGTCTGGGCGTTTTTGTTTAGTTCGGCTTGGATTTGAATACACTATAAGTAATTATTGTTACTTATATGCATAAATTAATTTAAATAATTTAATTCAGTTACCAATTTAATTTGTAAATTAAATCAGACTTTAAAATTTTTAAAAGTCATGATTAATTTAAACTTTTACTTTTGCTATAATTGCATCGGAAAACGGATAAAAAATGCCTTTGGCTCATAAAATTTTGATGAAGTTTCTTAAATTTTTGTAAAATATATAAAAATAATAAATATATATAAATATAAAACAATGAAAGTGGCACAATCTCATTAGGTTACCAAAAAGTGCTATATCTCTCCTAGTTTTAGTAATTTTAAAAATATTTTAAAAGGAAATCTCAAGAAATTTGTGGTAAACATAGGTATTTACTATTTATATTATTGGTGCAGGGGCTCCACAGAGGGGTAGGAGGTAAGAGAGGCAATTTGCCATGGTCACCCAGTGGGCTTATTTCAATTTTAATATATTACACTTAAAGTGATGGAAATTTATTGAAAGTTTCAATAAATTTCATAAATTTCATAAATGTCGTGAAAATTTCAAGTGACATTTCAAGTACAAGCAAAAAGTGAAATTTTCCCAACCCTATGTGGGTCACGGCTAGCTGGAAAGCATGTCAACTTAAAGGTGCTTGCACCTCCAATTTTTCTGCAAATCTTTTTTTCGATATGTCTCACGAACAATTTAAGTCCAAAAATAAAAAAATCGGTTGAGCCGTTTTTGTTGAATTGGAAATTATTTAAATTTTACATTGTAAGTTTGGTTCGCTAAGGAGGCTATGGAATGGAAGAACTGTAAATTATTTTTTCTGTTGTCAAGTACCTGTCAGTTTATTGCAGCGTCATTGATTGTTTACTTTTGGCTTAATTTTTGGTGAATTTGTGCAGTTAAAAAATAATATAAAATGACAAAAGATCATGCAGGAACTCACGAAGAAAATCGCCGAAAGGTATGCCTTTTATGCTTTGGAAAAACTAAAGCAATGATTGAGATTCGTGGAAAACTTAAAACTGACGTGGCTAATATTTTTGACTATGATCTTAATGACGAACGCTTACCACTTGCCTTATGTAACGGATGTAAGAGGAATATATATCGCATTAAAAACGGTGTTTGAAAGAATATAGTATTACCGAACATTTCGAAAATTCGCCCTCTTAAAAGAACTACAAGATCCAGGGTGGAGATGCCTTGCGATTGCTATGTTTGTAAACTTGCCAGAACACCACGAGTTGGAAATTTTGCAAAAAATGGTGTTTTACCTCCACCAAAGAGCATATTACTAAATACTTTAAGGGCCGGTTTTTCAATCATAGTTTAAACTTGGTTCATCATTTGAACTTGGTTCAAACAAAATATTCCGTTTTTTAATCAAAGTTCAAGCTTGAATTTGGTTTAAACTAAATCAAAGATGAACTGTTACTGTTGGCCGTTTAAACGAAGTTCAACTTGACATAACTTAATTTTTTTCTGCTTTATTGTGTATTACGTTGTTTATTTCTTGTTTTGTAATCTGCTGTTATAATAAACCAATGGATATGTTTGAGGTAGTTAGTGAGGATGATGAGGAAAGTGGCAAATTCCTAAATAATATTCAAGTTCGTGTGCACAGGCCACAGGTAAGACTGAATCATTTTGAAAGGTGGATTAATGATGAATTTTTTGCTAGATTTCGGTTTTCTAAACCTTTTGTACGTAGGATAGTGGATTTAATTATACCAGTTATTGCAAATCCGACCAATAGGTTAGTTATAAAAATAATTACTGAATAGGTAATAGATTTTAGTAAAATTCATCACATGTAACAAAAAACGACAAATTCATTTTTTACTATAAAACGAAATAAATATAAATAATTCCTCCTTAAAAGAGGTAAAGTTGGCAGCACGATTTTTATCCATGATAAATAATAATTATTGTTTTAAAGCAACCTTTCGCACAGATTAGAACTTTTTTAAAACAGCACAGATAAACAAAAATCCAAAAGTAAACACAAAATCCTTTTGTGAAAATGACAGTTTTAACTACTATTAATGTAGGCGTATACTAAATTCGGTTATACCAACTTAACGTTGACACCGCTGATCTAAGTTCAACAGAACTACTGTTGAGTCGACATTGAAAAACTCATTTGATTGTGAACTGAGTTCATTAACTGATCTAAGTTCCCCTGAACTAAGGTTTAAACCCTAATTGAAAAACCGGCCCTAAGTCCCATAACTGGTAAGCACAATCTGACCATATGATATCATTTTTGACAACGCAATTTCTAGGTAATGAGATAAAATCCCATAAAACCAATGAGAAACGGTGCAGTTCCTGTCTTTCGCTTATTGGAAGGGGAAAATCGCATAAGTGCAACCTATCTACCAGAATAAATAATATTACTAAGTACATTTGTAATTCAAATTCAAAATTTAAAGAACAGGTGATTTGTTCACTGGTTAAAGAAAAGATTAAGGAAAAGCCTGAAACCAAAAACGTAGCAGTTTTGTCACTTATACAGCCAAAGGGTGGACTATCTAAAGTTGCTGTTAATCCCGAGAAATCTGAGCAAACAACAAAGCAATTACTTTCGGCTGACGATTTTATAAAAATTCAAACAAGCTTTAATTTAAGTCAGAAAACTACTTGCGGAATTGCGTCTGCAACTAGCAAAAGAACAGCTATTGTGGAATGTGATTTAAAGAAGAAGCTTTCGGATAAGATTCATAGAGTTGACGAATACTTTACTAGTAAACATTTCGATTTTATAAAATTTAAGGGTAATACATTCATTGATGTTCCTGAATCTGTAGTTTATTGCAACAATCATTGGCTTGGGCAAAAACATGCAACGTCCAACGCGAGATAACTAATGGTGGCACTGAATTCAAAGGAAATGCTAGTAAAATTCTTTTAAAAAATGTCGACTTACTTCGAAGAGATGGCAGCCTGGGATGCCTAAAATTTGTAGAAGCATTCCAAGATTTTCGAGAAGTAGTAGATTCATGCTTTGGTACATCTTTTGACCCAAACTTTAAACAATCTATTGAAGTCTTTAAAAAGAGTTACTACACGGTACATCAACACCACTCCAAAAGTCCATGCAGTGTTTTTTCACGTCGTGGAGTTTTGCGGAAAAAATCAGCAAGGTTTAGGGTTCTTTAGTGAGCAGGCAATGGAGTCCGTCCACTTTGATTTTAACACCACATGGACAAAATATAAAGTTCCCAGGAGCCATCCAGATTATGCGTCACGACTACTACGAGCTATTTGTGAATATAATAGTCTTCACATTTAAAGTACAACATATCATATTTTGTTAATCCTATTTCATTCAGTGTTTTGTTTTTTTAAGTGTTAAAAATTATAATTTATATGGCGGTATTCCCAAACGTCGATTACTAAAATTAAATTTGGGATTAAGCATAGCAGTTAATTTAGATTTTAGTAAATTTGGCAACATAGCACCATTAATTATGTATTAATATATGATTAAACTATTTCATTATATATTAATATACATATATTTAACTGTGCTATTTTTCCACATTTAATAAAAACCTAAATTAACTGCTTTGCTTAATCCCAAATTTAATTAATCGACGTTTGTGCATACGGCCAACAAAAGCACAAAAACGGCTCTGCCGATTTTTTTATTTTTAGACTTAAATTGTTCGTGAGACCTATTATAACAAAGATTAGCAAAAAAAATTAAGGTGCAAGCTCCTTTGAGTTAATATGCTTTCCAGCTAGCCGTGGGGTATTACAAAAATTGATTATATCCTCCGTGAATATGTTTTTGCTTTAAATTTCATGCAATGGATGGCGCTTTAATCATTTTAAGTAAGCAATAACCTCTGTTTACGAAGGTCAGTTAGAATTTATATGCAGATGAGACTGTTGGTGTTTTATAATTCAAAAGTTTAAGTTCATTAATTTGCTATTTAAAAACCTATCCACCGTGAAGTCTAATATCTCAGTAAGTAGATTTTTTTTATAAATATTTTATGTATGTACAATTGTATTTTTAAAAAATATTAAGGTATTTATTTCAAATATGCAAAGGGATGTTTTAAAAAAACATACGAAATTCTAACCTCTGTGAAGCTATCTTCCGTGAAGCTCTAATATTCAAAATGTATGATTTCATAAGAAAAAAATCAAACCTACACCTCGCCAAAGTTTTTGTTTTAAGTGCGTTCCACTAACTTCCAATACCGACAGACAGCTGTTTCGACCTATATTGGGTCTCATCAGTGCCGGGCAACTTGGTGTGGAGGAACACACTTAAAACAAAGGACTAGGTTCAATTTTTTTTTCTTATGAATATTACCAGTAATGGATCAAGAAAGTTTCTTAAAGAAACTAAGAAAATTGAATGTTTACATGTATGATTTCCTAAAATTCTTGCATTAGTGCAGAACCACTTATGTTATGTTATTATTCATTATTCACCCATATAAACTAACCTGTGGATTCCATTCGAGAAGCCGTATTGACAGTATCGCCAAATAGACAATATCGGGGCATCGTAAGTCCAACGACGCCTGTACAGCATGGACCTGTATGCAAACCAATCCTCAATCGCAAAGGTGTCCCCGGTAAGTGACGTATCCTGAACATTCCACTTTGATGCAGAAGATCCAAGGCCATTGTGGCAATCTTAAACCGAAAAAACAGTATTGTATTTTCAAGTCAACCACACAGAAAAAACGCTTTGATATAGTCAATAACAATGCTATAATTGATTGTTTTTTCATTTCTCCAATAAAAGTTAAAGTTTATTCAATCAAATATCTTTACAGCAATTGAGGGTAAGGGATTGATGTTATTACAAATATTACATTCAGCCCTTAACAAAATATTATCAAGTTAAAATTACTTGTTATAGAGTGAATGACTCTTTAGATTTAAACCTAATGGAAATGTGTACTCCATTGAAAATTTTAGAAATGATTGTATTCAAAGTTTATCTGATCAAGGTAAAATTAACAATATTTAAGTAATTATAAAATTGATTTATATTAAAAGTTATAATGCTTCAACTAAAAATTAAAAATAAATGAAATAAGAATAGTCTTTGTTTCTTTTAATGTTTGTGATTTTTATTTCATTGGAAACGAATATAAAGTTAGTTTTTACTGTCTTACAGTGAATAACAATGTTTTTACTGTCTTGAAAAACACTTGTTATTTGCCCAATTATCATTCCCATTTTTTCAATGCGGTCTATATTCAATTTAATGATTGCCAAAATTCAGACAAACGCGCTAGGGCATTCCCTGCCACACCACACATCGGCAACCTGCAATGTGATCAACTGATTAATCGATATTTCTGGTGACGCCGATTGATGTAAGTGTATGGGTTATCTCTGGTGTAGGTAGTGTTTGGTTTTTTGTTATATTTGCTAATTTCTTGGGGGTTGTACTAATCCCGAATTTTCAAGGTAAGTTGTACACTGTTCAAAATTTCATGACCATTTTAACACCAAATTAACACCATACACGGTCTATATCGATACAAACCAAAATGGTGTTAAATATGGTTCGTTGGCCGGTGTAAATTCAAATACTAAAATGGTGTTAATTTAACTTTCACACAGTATTAAAATAAATTTTACCTGGTGTAAATTGAACTCCTTTACAGTGTTAAATATTATGTGTTTGTGGTCAAATTAAATCATACTACACAGAAAAAAGGAAAAAAAAAGGAAAAAGGAAGTTCCTTGACGCATTACTAGTATATTACCAGTGGTATTATTCCAGAAAATGGAACCTTCAACTCGCTAGAGATAATGTTTTTAGTGCGTTTCACTAACTTAAAATACTTCAAGTATTGACAGCTGTTTCCACCTATTTAAGGTCTCTTTAGTATTGAACAACTTGTAGTGTCACACCAAAGCAAAGGACCACCTGAGTTTATATATTCTTCATGTAAGTCAACAGAGGCGAGATTTAAGAACATCACGTGATCCACACCGCCTTTGCCGCGATCAGTACACATTTTCAACCATAATTCATGGAGTTATATTAACACCACTTGGTGTTGGATTTTTACACCACAAATATTTTAAACAGTGTACATGTTGTTTAATTGTATGTCCGCCATGCATTATCCAGGAATTTAATTACTTAATTATATCTAAATGATAACAAAAAGGTAAATGTGTACTAATATATGTATATACCATGGACACAGATTATCTTGATATTCGGTATTTTTCTAAAATGGACGTAGTTTTTATTTATTTATAAAAGAAACGTATCATAGTCTTTTAGTACCATCATGATATCCTTGCTTTAGGACTTTCAGAAATCTTTAGGATACGCCTCTAAATACATAAGATAAAATTCCTATTTCGTTTTAGAATAACCATGTGCCATGGCAGACAGATCCTGCACATCTAGTACAGTAACCGTTGCTAGTGATGGGTCAGCAAGTTTCTTAGAGCCTAATATCACCAACACTTCTAGTGGGTTCCTAATAGTTTCTACAGAAAACAGAGCAATTTTATTTTATGGATTGGAAAACCTGTGTACACAAGACTTCCAGAAGCAGTTTCCAGAATTCATTTTATTTAAAGTTCATATTAATGTATTATACAACTAATATTTGCACAAGAATATATATATATTTAAAGGAATTAGAGCTTTGATTGCATTTAATGTAGCCATTCATTAGAAACCATACCTTTATTTATGCCAATCATAGTTTTTCATTAAGATTTATTGTGGCTTCAATTAAATAACAATTTAATTCAATAATTTTTTATGTTTTAACTAAGTTTAATACGGATTTAATAGAATCACAATTTAATTCAATGACTTCTTATGTTTGAACTAATTTTAAGCAGGCTTGAACAAATAAGACTTAAGTAAGACAATCATTCATTTGATCATAGATGTAATTCAGGTATTGCAAATACAGTACACCATTGGCTCAATGGTTAACCCATTCACAATGTAAAAGCTTTTTCTCTGTGCAGGTAGTTTTAATAAAACATCTATGAACTTAATTAAGTCAAAACCCTTTTCAGTTTGGGATAAAGGAAAAGTCGGCCAGAGTAAAAAATTATGCTCCTTGAAAAGAAGTCGCGCAGCATACGTATTAAACACACAAATTGTCTCTCAGAACAATACGAATGGTATCGTATAAAACTTTGTCCTGGGCCATTCCTCAAACTTATATTTATATATTGCCATTTCATTGGATCTGTTACTTGTTCATTCTAGAATAATTTGTACTATCTGTATTATCACTTTTTATAGAAAATATTTTACCATACGCTAAAGTAGTATCGGGTTTTCGCAACGAGAGCGCCATCTGGTGGACTTCAAAAGCATTGCGTGAATTTAAGTATTGTCAACAATATATTTGAAGCATACGAACTGTAGATACATCATTTTTAAATAAATATTTACTGGCGTGAGCAAATTAAACACTCGCCTGAAAAAGTCGCTTTTCAACACTTGTAAAACACATAACTTTTATCTACTCCAATTGCAAAATTTTGGTGTTTTTCCGTAAATATTGTTAAGCATTATAAATTTCCTGCATAACAACGTGAATAATAAACTCAGTATTCACGTTGTTAGGCATCAGTGATTGGCCGATTTCAGTATTCACTGTGATTTGAACCAATCGTGTTTTAAATTGGAAGAAGGCGACTATAATAACATTTAAAATTGGTAAAAAGTAAGGTTAACCATTTGACAGATGTCAGATTTTATTTATTTAATTTTGAAAATCATTTAATTATCTACTTATTGGAGTAGTTAAAGTATAGTATTAAACTCGAGATTATGCGCAATATTTACATGGATTATTTAGGTCTATCGTCTGGCGACTCGAGACGTAAAATTTTTTTCCACTAGAGAAAGAAGTTAAATTTCGCCCACCGATAAAAGTTAAAAAATGAAATGGTGTTGAATAATATTACATTGTGGGTCTAGTGGGAAAAACAGAAGATTTATCCAGCATAGCGTGTGCTCTATCACTCGAGTGGAATCTCCTCTTTCGACCATTATACCGCAATAAATATGTCTAACCGTGTAAAAACAAAATATGAACAATTAAGAAACCGAAAAAATATGGCGCAAGGAGACAATTTTATTTGATATTTTATTTATATTTGAGATCTGTCAGACAGTTTTAACGTCACTTTTTTTTCAATATTGATTTAAAGTAAAAAACTTCAGCTCTCGAGATGCTATTTCGCCTACTAGTGGGCAAAGTAGCGTTTCGCCCACGGATTGCAGTTAAAAAATAAACAATTAGAAAATTTGTTATTTCACCCACCCACAGTAGGGCTACGAAGTTACATATTTCTTGCGGGTGGTTTAAATATATTACGCTTAAATAAACGAGTACTTTTTTATAGAATAAATTTGATATAACTTTACCAAGAAACTTATAATAATTAATTGCCAAAATCATAACAAATAGCAGTATATGTTTGCCAGAGTATTAAGTTTATATAAAGTTAAGCTTTCAAACTACCACGCTCAACAGTTTGCTAACCAGTTTGAGTGTACACATGTAATAATAGACATTACACAAAATCAATAAATATATCGCCCCCGGTAAACAACTCTATGTATCACAATTTAAAATACCTAATACATCATGTATGAAATGTAATGTAGGTAATCATTAAAAAAAAGATAATAAGTACCTATTTGTCGTAGAAAAAGTAAAGTGTGCACCTTGTTTATAAACCTTCCTATACACTCATTAATTGAAGCACTCGCTCGCAAGCTCGTTCGTGCCTAAATTAAATTTGTGTATAAAGTGGCGTTTATCAAACTTAATACATAATATACTATTATTATCATTATTACCTTAAACCAGAATCTTTTAAAAAGAATTAAATTACCTGTGAGTAATATTTGCTTTAAAATTTATAGTAAAAAGGTTATTGTATAGTATAGTATTTTTAACGATAATGGATGAATATTATCTATGAAAAATGAGCTTTCTTTAGAGTTTAACATTTTTTATTGTAAAAGAGTCTGTATTATACAATGGGGAGTAATGCTGGTGAAACTTAATAAAATGTAACGGCGTATTGTGTAAAACACTCTTTTGAGTGTCATTTAAAATAAATTGCGCACTTCAAACATATTACGAAGTTTCTAAAGAAAAAATTATGGAACTAGTAAGAAATGTAAAAATTATGACGTTAAGTTTTTTATATTAATTAAATATAAGTTAAGGTTTATAAATTGATGCTACAAGGCTGTCAAAATTGCGGATTACAGTATATTAATTATAAATTTAAATATTAAATAAAAATGATTATTATCGCAAAACATCTTTAATCAAGTGGGTAAATTTAATTTATCCGTAATTATTAAGATGCTTACGTTATAGTATAATTATAAATATGCATAACCAATATAATTTAATTAATTATAATTAATTAAATTTTATTGGTTATGCTTATGTAGGTAGAGGGTAATCCCCTATAATGTCGCCCCCTTTTAACTTTTCCCAAAAAATTTAATGTATGGTTATGTAGGAGGTACTGAAACATTATTCAGTTTACAGGGAAAAACAAAAAGTTTATTTTTTCTCAATGGATCATGAATTTATTTTTCGATTCCTTGTTAAATTCTATGCATAATTCATAAAATATACCATATATCTAAAATCTGAAATATTTAAATTATTTTTAAGACAATACAATTCATTATAATTAGAACCAATAAAATGCCAGTATTCCATAGTTACGCATTTTATCACAGCGACTATATTTTTTATCACCTTGTTTACACGTTGCTAAGGATTTTGACACTTTTCCTGATTTGACATTTGTTGACATTTAAATACTGTGTTTGTTAAAAAGATCAAAACACAATAAAAGTGTAGGTCAAACTCATTTAGTTTTATTAAATATCACGGGGTAACACCATCGGGGGACATTTCGTGAGATTCATCCATGTAGTATGATATATGAATTATGCTTAGAATTTTATTTTATTTTTATTGTAAAATTATAAGAATATTAAAATTACACATTATGTAATCTTGCTGGATGCTCCCGTGTACGAGTTTTGGTTCGTCCCGCGCATGACGTCACTTGATGAGTAGTTGCCGAATAATACTAATATTATCAAAGAAAATAGAGAAATATCTGGACATAGGTACTGCGTTTTTATTAAACTTAATATTGAAAAAAGTGTTATAATATGGATAATAGATGCTTTCAGTCCTTGATAACATTTAGGGCTGTAGTTTAAGCGTTGGTGTTTTAAATTTAACTTATAGTCACTGCCCAGAAAATGTTTATAGGAAACAGAAGCGGTCTTAACTTTAATATTGTACATTCTTTTTGTGGTAATTAAACACTGTTTGCACAAATCAAAGTTTTTCGGGAATCGATTAAATTTAATGTTCTTATTTAAAGAGTTTTTCTTGAACTGGTTGTCCGAATTGCATCCAAATATGTCACACCGCATTTTAATAAAAGCAAATGGCACGACACAACATAAAACATAAACAAAACAAGTTAACGCAACACAAAAACAATAATAAACAAACAGAACAGGTTAACACAAAGCAATAACAATAATTTGAACACTGAAAAGTAATTCGAGCCTTACCGAACGCAAGAACAACAAGTTAAACAAAAAATAGAGCAAGTTAACATCCAACAGCATCGCAAAAATAAGAATTTTAGCAGCGGATAATTAAAAAGCACGTTAAGGATTTAAAAACACTCATCAAGTGACGTATTTAAGCCCCGCCCAACATGCGCACCATCCTATCTTAAGGAGTGTGCATACATACAGTAGAAACCACCAATATATGATCGGGTGCCGAACATATCTCAGACATGCTAGCAGTAATGTTTTACTTGTCTTGTACATTCGATGCAGCGGTAAATGTACTCACACGTAGGTTTTTAAGCATCCGGTCTAAAATGCGCCATCTGTGATGTAAAACTGCCTAGGTGTTCGACAAAGATGGACATATGACGCATGTCCTAGCTTGTTACTTAATTTTGTTGGAATTCAGTAGAGCTCGTGTTTTAGGCAATTTATTTTATTTTATTACATAGTAAGGCAACCAACTCTACCGTCGGCCATTTGTTTTTATATGTCATATGATTTTTTGTTTTTGCGTATCGTGTTTCTGCTGTGTGTTTACGGATTAATAATCGTTTTAAACGTTGTAGTGGCAGTGGTTTATATTATGTAACACAGGTAGATGTCGTATAAAAATCCTTACCTAGAAATTCTAGGCTAGAATACAAAAATATTTTTATTATATAAATTTTGTACTAGTATTAGTTTAATACATTCTGAAGAAGCTACTGTGTACCGAAACAATTGTCAATATTTAATAAATTTCGTGAAACTAACTCACATTTCCATCAGCATTTATTCTGCAAAATATCTTATATGTCAAAAAACATTTATCAAATTATAAAACACACACAACTGTTCACCAGCATCACACAAGAAACAAAGATGATTTAATTGTGAGGTTTTCAAGACTGTCAAAAACTCAACATGGGCCAGAGTACCATGGAATAAAATTTTTCAATAAACTTTCAAATCAAAGAAAAAATTTAAGCTTTGATGAATTAAGATTGTTTCTTATAGAACGTTTGATTCGCAAAGCATATTACAGTACGGATGAGTTTTTGAGTAAGATTTGGGATTAGCTCATTGGCAGCTTTTATATTATAGGTTCATTTTATTTCATATGTCTATTATATTTATAATTTATTTATACTTGTATCTACTAATGTTTATTTTCTCTGTATTGACGTTGTACACCTACTGGTTTAGCACTAATAAAGATTATTATTATTATTATTATTATTAAGTTGGTTTTATATCCACACAATTTAAATATCTTTCACTTTGTACCTGACCTGCGTAAACATTTTTGTTTTTTTGTCACCAATTCTGAAATATTTGCGTTTACAGTTAAAAGAATAGTATATTCTGTAACAAATTTGACGGTTTCACGAGAGGGGAATATGCAATTCCAAACGTGTTTCAGACTATACTTTTTCTACGTTTCCAAACATACCATAGAAAAAGAATTTAATTGGAAGAAAGTGAGGTTGGATCGGTCTAAAAATTTGTTAGATATTAAAAACAGAGATGTCGCCACGAGTGAACATTCTGTCATCAAATAATAGAATATTTCATTAAAGTTAAAATAAAAGTTTATTTATTAATTAGTTTTTAAGAAAATTACATTTTATTTAATTATCGTAGATGTTAATTAATAAAATTTAACTTTAAAAAGCAAATATATCAGAAGTATAGCAACCAACATTACACTAAAGATTTTTTACAAATACTTATGCCCCCGTTAGAACAGCACTGCACTGGACCGCGACCTTCGATAGATTGCTTCGTACGAATGTGCCGGATGAGTCACGTTCATATATTCGTGGTTTATACTGTATGTATCTTTCCCTGTGCCTGTTGGATACAAAAAAATAGCCTCGGTAATTAAAAACAACTTACTTGTTCGGCGTGATTGGGGATCCTGACCGGCAGGCCCCCCACCACCATATAAGCGTCGCCGATGGTCTCCACCTTGTAGACATTGTACGCATTAATTGTGGCGTCGAAGCAAGTGTAAAGGTCGTTCAGCAGATCGACAACTTGAAAGGGTGTCGAATGGGCGGATATCGTGGTGAAACCGACGATGTCGCTAAAATAGATTGTCACCTCTTCGAACTGTTCAGGATCTACGGGCATGCCGAGTTTCAGTTTATCGGCAACGTAACTGAAAAATTATTTTTATTAGTCCTAACCTAAATTTTAGTTCTGTAATATACGTAATATTAATAATTATTTTAACAAGATGTTTCCAGAGTAGTGAGAAAATATAAAATTTGAATTGGTTAAATTTCAAAGTTTCTTGTTTTATGTGTCCATTATACGCTTATAAATTAATAGTTATTTATGGTACTAGTGTGTTATGTTGAAAATAAGTCACGGAGAAAGAGGCCGTCAGGCCGAGTGGTATAAATTCTCAAAGGGAAATAACACACTAGTGGCATACTTGTTTTATCCAACAAGTGGAAGAAATCGTTTTTTTATGAGATAATAATTAATAAGCTTTGTGATCAAATCAAACCTACTTGCGTCTCAGTACCCTATAAATGTCAGAATGACTTCCCTATTAAAAATGCCATATAGAAACACAAAATAAAAATCTATCTGGTTTAATATAGGAATTTGAAACAGGCATTGCACTATTGAACCAGATAGAATTCCCAACCTGGAAAACCATATAGAAAAGTGATTTCTATATGGATTGCCATATAGGTTCATATTGCTCTATCTGGCCCAATATGGTTTGGGTATGAAAAAATTATTACCATATAGGGGAATCTATATGGTTTAATATGCAATTTTCGTTTAAATATATATACATTTTAAAATGGAATTCCATATTCAACCATATAGGGAAACCTCTATGGAAATACACATAAAACAGAAACCAGATAAATCCATATAAAAATCCCTAAGTTGTACATTTTAAAATGAAATTCCATATTAAACCATATAGATTCCAAAGTGTAAACCAGGTCGTTCCATATAGGACATATAGAACCATATAAATCAATATTATTTTCCTTATCTGGATCAATATGGGTTCTATAGGGCATTTTTAATAGGGTTGACAGACTTTTTAACATATTGGTCAAAGTAGGTTGTTTGTTAGGTTGCCACGGGCATAATACATTGTTAGCAAATGTTTAAATAAATTTAGACACTTGTCAGTTTTCCCTGCAGAAAAGAGAAGCTTTTTTGAAGAAAAAAACGTATAGGAAAAGAAGGAAACCGATGAAAATTACTTTCCTGAGGATATCCCTACGGAAGCGAAAGAAGCAGCGATGCAGATTTTGCCCGAGATTCTTACTACAAGGAGTTCAAAATGTTTGAGTCTTGGATGTATTTACGGAAGATAAAAGGAATTGATGAAAATGTTCTATTGGCTTATTTTTTGCAAAAAAAATTAGCCCCACCGTCGCTATGGACCAAATACTCGATGCTTCGCTCGACTATTCTGCCCTACTAGGTATGGAGAAAGACAGTAACTACAAAAAAAATTCTAAATGCGTTTTCTTGTGCTATGATAAAGCATTTTGTATCTTAATTCAACAAAGAAATGCAGTAAACTATCTTATAAGTTAAATAAATTAATAAAATATCTACTTACTGCTTTTTATAAAAATGTAGTTTATGATAATTTTTTACAAATTTCTTGTTTAGAAGTTACTGCCTTTCTCCATAGTTGGGCAGTATTCACCTTTATAAAAAAATCGACAATTCAAAATATGGCAAACTACCGAGCTTTTTGAAAAGCAAATCACAGGGATACAAACCAAAGAAGTCCAATACATTAGAACGACCTGAAATAGAGAAGTTTTTGAACAAAGCTCCCGACGACGAGTACCTGTTAATGAAAGTGGCTTTGGTAATGTGGATTAGCGGAGCTTGTAGATGCGATAAATTGGTCAATTTGAAAATAGAAAATATTCAAGACAAAGGGAAATATTTTCATGTAGTTTTTTTGTATGGGAATAAATAAGTTGTCGAAGATACCTTCAAGAATTGCAATGTTTTTGAAATTGGAGGAACCAGCGCTCTACACCGGTCACTGCCTGAGAAGGTCTTCGCGACTCTTTTGGTAAATGCAGGGGCTAACATGACTACTTTGAAGCGTCACGGAGGATGGAAGTCCTAGACCGTAGCAGAAGGATACCTAGAAGAATCGGTGCATAACAAAATACAAATTGCAGAAAAAATACAAGGTTCTAATGCGTCGGGGTCTTCCAGCACTATCAGCAGCTGTACCGATATGGGAGCGTCTGGTTCCAATGAACCAACGAATTGTACAATGACTTCAAATTCGAATAAACCATTAGCGTTTTCCTTTAATTTCAACATTAATTTGAATTCTGCTTGTAATAGTAATAAATAAATAGAATACTACTTTAAATATGAACGTGAATTATAACACACTAGTGTGTTATTTGATAGTTTAGTTGTCTGAAATGACATTAATAATGACAGTCATAACTGTCTTGTGTTGGATAAAATATATAATTTATACTGGCAGTACAATCCTTTTAATAAAATACAAGCAATTAAACACAGTTATATATTTGGTTACTTAAATGTTATATTTAATCCTATTTTTTTAATACAAAATTTGCTATGTCAATATGTATTTTTCAGAACATTCCAAGGAAAATTTTTACTAAATTAAGTTAATTAAAAAAAATAATTTTTTCGGCGGTCAATTTGTTTTAATTTGATAATAATTATATTTTAGTATGTTAAACTGCATTTTTTACCGTTAGATTTGTGTTTTTTGTTTGCTCAAATCCCTTTTTATTTTGGAACTAGGAATTTTCAAAAATTTTAACGGATCTGACTCATTTTCAATAAGCAACTTTTTCTAAAATTTCTCTTCGCAAGCGATTTCGGGTAACCGGACAAAATCGAAAAAATAAACTTGAAAAATTATTAACCTGATTATTTCCCTCATTATAATATGAACAAATCAAAAGCCTTGAATTTTCGAATAAATTTCGTTTAAATAAGCGATTAAATCACTAGAACTATTTAACAGCGATTAAATTTTAGCCTCCATATTGGATTTTTGTTTACGATTTTATGGTGTTATTTACAAGTTTTAACAAACATTTTTTACAATAAAACAATAAAAAATAAGTTATCTAGTTTACGAAATATCAATTATTACTAATTAAATTAATGGAATTTTCTTTAAAAAAATTATATTAATTTTGACACATACGTCAGATTTTATGAATTGTCAAATAGTTTCCTTTAATTCGAGAAATAATCTAGACGTATATCACTCAACCTATAAATTTAATCTGTCAAACTATGCTCAGTAAGTTTTTTATTTGATTTTTCTGTTTGGAAAATAGTTTGATGCAAAATAATTAAAAATAAAACCCCTCGACCGCTACGCGGTCTCGTGATTTTATTAAATTATTTTGCATTCAACATTTTCCAACAAAAACCAAACAAAAAACTACTGAGCCTAGTTTAACCGATTAAATTTATATGATAAATAAACTATGTTTTTATAAACATTGAATAAATTTACCCAAATTTGTTATAAATTGAATTGAATAAATATATTCTTAAATATTATAAAAGTTATTCCTCATTATATGGATATATAATAAAAATATAAATAAATATTACGGCATCAAAAGGTCGCGTAAATCAAACTTCAAATTATCCTGTTTTCACACAAATAATAATTTTATTACTTTAAGCTTTTATTAAAAAAGTAATTGTTGTGTGTTATTAAATTAAATGTAATATTGTTAGCAATAATTTTGTTTTATGTGGAAGAGGCTTTATAATCAAGCGAGTCGGGAGGTTTTGTATTAAGTTAAAATATTAATTTTTACTTCAATGTGGTAGAGAAATATTATTATTACTTTCTCATTAAATTTTATGGTTATGAACACAAATTTAGCTAGGTATAAAACACTTTTGTTAACATTGTTATTTTGTTGAGCATGGAAACATTATGTTCATAATAAATTTTGCAAATTAATAATGAATATTTTGTTACTATAGTAAATTGCATACGATTCCAAATTCTATAGAATTTGGAAACTTATGCAATTTATAATTTTAAATTAAATAAAAAACAGATCAAAAAGATAAAGAAACATTAAACTTTTTATATGTTTTTAACATGTTTGGCTTAATTTGATAAAACTTTTTTAAAACTTTTTGCCATAATAATGAAATGTACAAAAAATACAAGTATTTTTAAATTAAGCACAACTCAGTGGACAATTTTACATAAGAATTGACTTAAATTTTGGGACAAGTGAAAAAGCTGCCACTAATTACTATTAAATTAAGAGTGCAGCATATTTACAGGAGAAATGTATGCTATATGGGAAGCATTAAAACATAAAAGAAAACAAAATAAATACACTCATAACAACAAACTTTGTTCAGTAGATTCGAAAATTGGATCAAATATACATAAAATTTCTTGAGGAGAGAAGTATCAAAATTTATTCTTTTTGACAAATTTTATTAAAAATCAGACAAACATAAAATTGCTTTAAAAAATATTGTAAACAAAATTTAAAAGCATTTTATATTTTCTCAATTTATTAACACCCTGTATATCTGATCTGATTTTTTTATTGCAAACATGTTTTTTTGGCAAGCATAATTTTTTATAAACAACATTTTTTTTCGTAAAATTATAATTAAAGATTTTCCTCCTCTTCTCAACTCCATCCGTGGACACTGTATATACCAAATATACCCACAAACATTTACTAATAAATAAAGGGAGAAGAACCACCTGAATATAATCACTACCTTTGTCGACTGTGCATTAAACATCTTTTAATAAAATCTCCCCTATTAAAAGATCTAAGACAAGAATTCCAGCTAACATCCACCTTCAGTGATATGATTTGGGACATCAAAGATACCACCAAGCTTTTAAATTACTTACGCCTCTTAAATATACTAAACACCTGCTTATGACCATTTGAGGCAGAAGCAGTAACTCAATAAATAAAATACTATAATACGACCATTCCAAGCCCATGGACAGGACACATTTGGCCAAATTTGGCTAATACTTCTCATAAATACTCGTAGAAAAAATAAGTAAACTTAAGGAAGTAACAAGAATATATTTAGACATGTTTTTGATGTGTCCTGTCCATGGGCTTGGAATGGTCGAATAATAAAATGTCGCTTAAACTTTTAGCTAATTTCTTGGCATAATAAAATAAATAACTATTGGTAATAGTTAAAAAACTTAAATTGTTATAACTAGGTAAAATGTAGGCACGTATACTTGTAACTCTATGGTATATCATAAAATTGCACATACACTGTTCAAAATTTCATGACCATTTTAACACCAAATTAACACCATACATGGTCTATATCGATACAAACTAAAATGGTGTTAAATATGGTTCGTTGGTTCGGTGTAAATTTAAATACTAAAATAGTGTTAATTTAAGTTTCACACAGTATTAAAATAAATTTTACCTGGTGTAAATTGAACTCCTTTTCAGTGTTAAATATTATGTGTTATATTAAATCATACTACACAGAAAAAAGGAAAAAAAAGGAAACAGGAAGTTCCTTGACGCATTACTAGTATATTACCAGTGCTATTATTCCAGAAAATGGAACCTTCAACTCGCTAGAGATAATGTTTTTAGTGCGTTCCACTAACTTAAAATACTTCAAGTATTGACAGCTGTTTCCACCTATTGAAGGTCTCTTTAGTATCGAACAACTTGCAAGTTGTAGTGTCACACCAAAGCAAAGGACTACCTGAGCTTATATACTTTTCATGTAAGTCAACAGAGGCGAGATTTAAGAACATCACGTGATCCACACCGCCTTTGCCGCGATCGGTACACACTATGCCACCGGGAAGCATATTCATATGTTACCGACACAAAGAGACAATCGGATTTCCGAACGATGCCGAACACGTAATAATAAGTTGCCGACGTATTCTTAGTTTATGTCTGTAACTTAACGATTTGCAACGACTGCGAGCAGTGGTGTTATTAAAGTATGAAAATTTGTTTATTTCATTACAATAATAAGGCCCAGTTGTATAAAAGTTGGTAAACAGCTGGTTAACTCTTGATATTAATTATATAATTATTAAGCTAACTTTTAAGTTGTATAAACATTGATTAAAATTTAATTAAGTGATTGAAATACAATTAACAACAAAATTAATGAAATGTCAGTATGAATTACCCAAATCAACCCAAACTCAACAACCCAACCCAACCGACCCCGCCCCATTGGCCCCCCCCCGCCCCATTGAGCCCGAAATTGAGCAACTGTATCCCCTGTTGCTTGTATAAGTTACCGACGGAATCCTAAAGTTACGTCTGTAACTTATATAAAATCAATCGGCTTTCCGGAGCGGTTGGTTGTGTCGGTAACATATGAATATGCCACCGGCATTGCACGGCAAATTGTTTTAATCGTTTTAACAGAGTGCTTTAGGTTGAAGTAACTCTTATTTTACAAACAACATATTTAGTAAAGTGAACCATACAGCGGGTTGGTTTCACTAAAGTTTTCTGGGTTAATTTAACCAATTTAAAAAAAATAAAATAACTATCTGGTTTAGTACCGTCAGACTAATTTTTGTTTATATTAACCTTTCCACAGTTGATAAAAATAAAAAAATACAAAAATATATACTAGTGTACTAAAGTGTAAAAAAACACTAAAACTGCAGTTTGAGTGATTTTTTACACTTTTCAAAGCTTTCAAGCATACGAATTTTTGAATTAAAAAAAATAATCCTGGTATAGATTCTTTGGGAAATTTTATGCTCTACAAGAATCCGCGACGTAAAAAATTTTATCTCAAACGGTTTAAAAGTTATATTTTTTTTAATGAAAAAAGATTTTTTTACGTGTTATTTCAATGGAAAACTTAGAATGCTCACCGACACCTTTTAAAATTGAGCAAAAAATTTTGCCTTGCAGGGAAATTTTTTGCTCGGTATGTAGGTTCTTTTTAACCCATAAATCCGATAGGTTAGTTTTTTTAGCTCACCCTAATATATACTTATGGGTCAACTAAATTAATATAGTTAAATGAACTATTCCTTTTTTTTCTGTGTAGGTGCAAATATTTTTAGATAAACACCATTTTGGTGTTTGCTGTATATAACATTTTCAACCATAATTCATGGTGTTATATTAACACCACTTGGTGTTTTAAGATTACTCTTTACACAACAGATATTTTAAACAGTGTACAATGCATTAAGTTTGTATTTGTTATTACATAATTATTTACATTAGGAAGTTTATTTACAGGGTGAACCATATACTTATCCCAGAAACTACTATATAGAGTCACAAAAAAATTCATGCGCGGAGTGTAATATTATTGTATAAATAATAGTTATTTATGTTACTAGTGTGTTATGTTGAAAATAAGTCACTTAGGAAACATGACACACGAGTGGCATACAATGTTTTATCCAACAAGTGGAAGAAATCGTTTTTTTATGAGATAATAATAAATAAGCTTTGTGATCAAATCAAAGCTACTTGCGTCTCAGTACCCTATAAATGTCAGAATGAGTTGACAGTGACTTTTTTACATTTTGGTCAAAGTAGGTTGTTTGTTTGGTTGCCACGGGCATGATACATTGTTAGCAAATCTTTAAATAAATTTTGACAATTGTCAGTTTTCACTTCAGAAAAGGGAAGCTTTTTTGAAGAAGAAAACGTATAGAAAATGGAGGAAACCAATGAAAATAACGTTCCTGGGGATGTCCTTAAGGAAGCGGAAGAAGCAGCGATGCAGATTTTGCCAGAAAAGTCCCTAGATGCTTACGACAAGAAGTTCAAAATGATTGAGTCTTGGATGAATTCACGGAAGATAAAAGGTATCGATAAAAATGTTCTATTGGCTTATTTTTTATATTTGCAAAAAAAATTAGCCCCATCGTCGCTATGCACCAAATACTCGATGCTTCGTTCGACTATTCACCTTTATAAAAAAATCGACATTTCAAAATATGGCAAACTAACGAGCTTTTTGAAAAGCAAATCACAGTGATACAAAGCAAACAAGTCCAAGACATTAGAACGACCTGAAATAGAGAAGTTTTTAAACGAAGCTCCCGACGACGAGTACCTGTTGATGAAAGTGGCTTTGATAATGGCGATTAGCGGTGCTTGTAAATGAGATGAATTGGTCAATTTGAAAATAGAAAATACTCAAGACAAAGGAAAATATTTTCACGTAGTTTTGCCAGACACTAAAACCAATATATTGAGAAGTTTCGTGATACTTGATTCAAGTATCATGAAACTTCTCAATATATTGGTTTTAGTAACTTGAAGAAGGATTTCCAGTCAACCCGATCAATTTGTGTAAAAAATACATATCTTTGAGACCAAAGAATACTAGTTCTAGCCGCTTTTTTGTTTTCCAAAAATGGGAGGTGTACCAGCCAGTGTATGGGAATAAATACGTTGTCGAAGATACCTTTAAGAATTGCAATGTTTTTGAAATTGGAGGAACCAGCGCTCTACACCGGTCACTGAGCCTGAGAAGAGATTTTTTTTGGCCAATGCAGGAGGTAACATGACTACTTTGAAGAGTCACGGAGGATGGAAGTCCTCGACGGTAGCAGAAGGATACCTAGAAGAATCGGTGCATAACAAAATACAAATTGGAGAACAAATACAAGGTTCTAATGAGTCGGCATCTTTCAGCACTATCAGCAGCTGTACCGATATGGGAGCGTCTGGTTCCAATGAACCAACAAATTTTACAATGACTTCAAATTGGAATAAACCGTTAGCGTTTTCCTTTAACTGCAATATCAATGTGAATTCTGCATGTAATAGTAATAAATAAATAGAATACTACTTTAAATATGAACGTGAGTTATAATCCATAACACATTAGTGTGTTATTTGATAGTTTACTTTTCTTAAATGACATTAATAATGACAGTCATAACTGTCAAGTGTTGGATAAATTTATTTATGTAATTTTAATTGTTTACTCATAAGTCGCTTTACGTGGTTCACCCTGTGTAAAAAACTTTTAGACCGATCCACTAACATGAGTCATAGCCACTAGATTAGTGGATATCGTTATATTTAATTGACATGATTAGTCGGATCGGCCGATAACTTGAAGGACTCATGTGAATTGGCCTAAATGTGTAGTACGCAATACTTGTAAACATACCTTGGAAGCATTCTGTTTAAAAGCTGTTCAGTTTTCTTCTTTTCGATATCCAATTGCTCGGTTCTCTCCCTGATCAGGTCCTCCAAATTATTCGAATACTTCTCCAACATTTGAAACATTGTGTCGACTATGTTTACCTTCCTGCCGTGGTTGAGCTTTTTAAACTGGTCGTGTACGGTGTTAAAGTCGGGTCGCATTTCTGCCTGTTCGGCCCAACATTGTCTCATTATATTAATGGCTTCCGGTGGCGCAGCCCCCTTGCTAACCGACGGTCTGATTAATGGTGGGGGGCGTTTTACTTTTTCTATTATTTCTGAAAAAAAATTATCTGAATTAATTTTATAAGCCCTTTTTATTCTATTAATAAAAACGTGTCCTATAGGACATATACATATATGTACTATTTACAATGAATAATAATTTTGTTGATCACTGGTACAACGGTAGACCGGCAACTAAGGGATTTTAAGAAACACTGTTTAATATGAGGGGGTCTAAACGTATTTGTGAATGGATCGCCACATTGTTTTGTGGGAAAAACTGTTAAGGCTCTGTTAATGCTGTTAAGCTGCACTGTTCGAGTGCCACTGATTCGGCGATATACTAAAGCAAAGCTTTGGGAGAGTAATTTTTTAGTTTTAAGTTATCTTTTTATATAAAATTTGGGCTACAGTTTATGCTTTAATTTTAAAAGGTTTATTTTAATATTTCACCTAAATTTATATACTATAATAATCACTATTTGTAAATTAAACATCTACGAAATTTATCACTACCATGGTATAATAACAACATGGTTGTAGGTAATTTTTGTTTTAATATACTTATTACTTTTATTTAATAAAGAACTGTAGTTTACTTTATAGCTATTTTTTTTAATAATTATATAATAAATTTTAAGGTTAACCTTATACAAAACATTTAAAAAAACGATTCGAGCTCTAAACTTCTCCAATAGCAATAAAATATTAATTTAATATACAGTAAAACATATAGCATAATGTAATGTAAAACTTGGCTTGAAAGATTATATATACGTAAAATTGTTTTAATTTTCAAAAAATTTCATTTAAGACTTAATAGTAGGTTATTTATCTTATATAGGTCTCTGGCGTTCACTGAACAATATAAAACTCAGCCTTAGCTTCACCTAATGCCCGACTGAAAACTGTCATTTGCACTACTTTATTTATAAGTCTCAGAGCGAGTTTTAACTATTTTTAATTATTTTACAATTTATTTTTTATTTTTTTTTAGTTTTTTATTTTCCAATGTTTCGTTTTATATTGCAGTTTTTTTATACAATTTTAAATTTGTTTTTAAAATATGTCGTTAATAAAACATTTATTAATTTTTTAAACTTTTAAACAAAAAATAAATTATTTGTTTTTTGCGACAGGGTCCTTTGCTGTGCGATGGACCAATCAACGGAGTCGTTGCCTTGACTTTTTCAATTATTTTTGAAATAAATGAGCGTGGGATTGTACGTGACATGTAAGAATAATTGGAATAAAAACTCTGTCCAGATATGACACGGTGGGCTTAAAATATAAACCTTCAAAGACTTTGTAGTTGTAAATTGATTGTATGGTTATTTTGTACTTACATACTATTTAATCAAGTCCTTTTTTCTGTTCATAAACGAGTAAGAAACTCTAAAAGTCAAAGTCGTGCTTATTGTTTTGTTAAATAATTATTTTAAAGAACTCTTTTAAATGTGATATATTGCAGTTGCACCTTGATAATGTTTTTTTTTACAAAGTTCAGGTTATTTAAAAAGATAATTGTTGTACGCTTTAATACAAAAGTTAAAATACTTTAGGTTTTAATATATAAAATAGTATTTTTCTACAACCAAGCAAAAAGTACAAATTTGCGCTTCCAAAAGAAAGCGAGCGTTTTTTTACTTTGTCGCTGAAAAATATTATTAGTAAGATTGAAATGTATTTCAAGGAGTTAATTATATTTTCTCAACAACAACTTGAGAAATACCAGCCTAGAGATGACTATAAGGAGCTTCTTAACTTATCTATCATCTTTTTGGGAGGCAGCCCCAAAATAGGAACATCTTTCAGGGCTCCGGACTTCATCGCGAAAGATGGATGGCAAAGGCCATCAATTCTCTAAAAATATTTCTGTTCTGAAAACAATTCAAATTGACAAAGATAGAAGAAACCGGAATAAGAGAAATTTGCGTTTTTACTATTAAGATTTATTTGAAGCATTGGTTCCAAGCACCTTCAGCATGTTATGCCCCTAGAAATGATTTGCAGCTCCTAAAGGATCTACAAAAATTTGAAAGCACAAACCAAAAACTATCTAGCGTGGCTCTAAATAAGTTTCAAAATCACCTGTGGTACTTGTCAGAGGAGCTTGTGGCGTTCTCCTTTTTTAATGAAAAAGTATCTACGGAAACGAAGAGAAAAATGGTAGCAGCTTTAAAAAATGTGGCATTAGATTACTCTCCTAAACGTATCACAATTGACATGAATCTCATGCACGAAAAATACCTAGAGGATTCTGTATCCAAAAATACATTGAGATTTTTTCACATCACTGGTATTTCACCAGAGTTTCTAAAAAAGGAAGTGGACATTTGGGATACCGATGAAAACTACGTAGAATGCAAGGCTCTTGTGCAGTCCATGAAGGTTGTTAATGATATTGCAGAACGAGGGGTGGCTTTAATTGAACAGTACAATAAATCAAAAACAATATTTACTTTTATTAGTGAAACAACATCGTCAAAAGTATGCAAATACCAACAAATCTACATTATTAGCCTAGTTTTAAATACATACATTTTATATAGTAAATAAACCGTTTTAAAAACATTTAATGGTTTTTTTATTAATATAAACTTAATCTTAACATTCATATCATGTCCAAAATTCTTAATATTTTTATAAATTTTAAACGTCGGTAGCGACCCCTAAATATTTATTTAAAATTCTGAAAAAAATCCTAAAACCGTTTCTCGTTACAGAGAATCTGTGCCCCCTAAAAAAATATAAAATAAATTTTTTTTGAACCTATAAGAAGCACCCTAATATATACACATATATATGTATATATATATATATATATATGTATATATATGTATATATATATATATATATATACATATATATATATATATATAATTTTACAGGTTTGTTGATATAAAATAGTATTGAAAATATTAGAAATTGTTAAATGTTTCTGAAATTTTAACTTTAGGAAACAGTTATTATAATACCAATCGAAAGATTCTTTAATTTTCTATTTGATTATGTTTTACAGTTATAATAAAATCGTTATTAGTATTTGAAGTTTGCCTCAAGTGGGTTTTCTCAAGCTATTTGTTAAAAAACCTTTAAAAAATTGAATTAAACTATGTTTTAATATTCCAGAAATTCCAACCACATTCCATTCCATTCCAACATAATAACAAAAAAATTCGAGGCTTTTTTTGATTAATGTGCATTTAACAAAATTTTTACGACAAAAATTAATATCTTGAAAGGTATTGACTTTGGGTATAGTCTAAATCAAATTGTATGTGCTATTAAAATTTCAAATCCATATCGTTTGCGTTTCTCCAGAAAAACCCTGTATAACATTATATTAAATATAAAAAAATGCAAAATAACTAATTACAAAAAGCGAAAAACAACTGAATAAAAAATATGCATCTATCTAAATAGCCGATCGCAACATAAAAAATAAAGTCTTAATTCTAATTTATTTATTGAGTAAATATTACTTTCCTCAGTTTTGGAATTAAAATTGAAGCTTGCTTATCGAGTAAAAATAAAGTGAAGCTTGGTTGTGGAGCAAAAATTAAAGCAGGTTATAATTTTTAACTTGCTGACACTGTCTATAATTATTATTTAGTTTATACCTACATTTTAATAAATTAATGTTTTGAATTTATAGTACACTTATAAATTGAAACGCAATCAGTAATTTGCAACATATAAACTGAACTGTCAAATTATCTTTCATGCTTCCAATGGTGGGTTACCATAGAGAAAAGCCTACTATGATCAAAATTAGTAAACTTGAACAAATTTTAAATTTATAAATAAAACTAATTTTAGTTTCATCTATGGCGATTTTTTTAAATAAATTTGTAAGAATTGTATGTTATTTATAATATATTATATGTAATATATAATACATAATCTTATAAAACTAGATAAAAGAATATATACTTTGTTATATACACGTTAGTATTATACCTTGAAGACCTAACTTAAAAATGATATCTCTCGTAGAAACTTAATTTGCATGTAGAAGTTTATATATAAAATAATAGTTAATTATAATTAACTATTAAGTACTGATAATTATCAGTACTTTAACGTGATATACTTAAAATTATAAAACAACGTTGCTTCTTCGACTTTTTAACCCTTAAAAAATGGTAAAATTTTAAATTAAATTGTCCTCTGCGCCCTCTGTATGTTAAAATCTAAAAAAAATAATACGTGGATTTTTTGCCACTAATAATGTCTACATTTTATCTGAATTTCAAATCGATACTTTTTTTAAATAAAAATGTTATTACAAAATATCGAAATTTAAGGCCTGAAAACCACAGCGGTCAATGGATGAATTTTTTTTTAATGCACCATTTAGATGTAAAAACAAGGTTAAAAAAATATATTAAATTCTGGCATCACTTGCAAACAAATTTCCAAAATTTGTTCGATTTTAACGCAAAACCATAGTTAAAAAATTTTTCTAGATAAAAATTTTTAAATTATAAGTATAAAAACTTAAAAAACCTGTATAATTAAGAAATAAAAATTATCTTATAAACCATTATTTAAAAATATAAAATCATTACATTTTTGAAAGTCTCGTTGGAGGGTTAAAATGTTGGTTCAATAATATTAAAAAATAAATAAAATAAAAAAAAAATTATTTATGGCCCACCGTGCAAATATGACGGTGCTGATGCTTTTCCCCTGAAACTGCCTTTTATCGTTGATCACCTCTAGCGCAAAAAACTGCACGTTATAAAGGTATAATAATTGAAATATTCATTTAAAGGAATGAAACATTTATGAGCACTTTACTTTAGATCCGTCGAAACGTTTTACCAGACGTGTTAGCTTAACCACTAACCTTCGGGAGTAAGGGCCAGCATACAGAAAGGCTCCCCTCTAACTACCACTTCCTGAAGGATTATGCCGAACGAGTACACGTCTCCCGGTTGAGATCCCTTTTTTCTCATGCTAGCGTGTCGCAACAGTTCCGGCGCCGTCCACAAAAGCTCTAAAACAAATAAACCACAGCTTTATACAAACAATCATTTACATTTATCTTAAATTTTAAACTTAAATTATGTATTATGTTTTATTTTTTCAATAAAATAGTATTTTATGTATCAAGTTTGATAAACGCCATTTTATAGTAAAGTTAGAAACGAGGTGCATACTATACTTTTTCTACGACAAATACTTATTATTATCTTAAAATCATTTAAATTAAAAATTTGTATAGAGCGCCATCTATTAAACAATAGGGAAATATGTGTGTTACCGTCAAATGTCAAATTTTTATATAATTTATAAAGGTTATAAATCGACCTGTATTTCTTGAAAATTGACATTTTTTCACAGTGAAAGTAAAGAAAATGTTTTATGAGCACTTTACAGTGTAGTCCCTGCCCGAATTTAAGTTTTAGTTTACTGCCGGCGAAATTAAAAGGTCAGTACAATGTTCATATAAACTTTTTAAATATTGCCGTTGAGAAACTATTTAATAATTTTGTATCTTTGTATTGAGATAATAAAATAATTTTCACATTTAGTATTATTTTACAAGAAAGGCACTTTATTTTAACGATTGTATGGCATTAAACAACTGTCAACTAACTTCAGCCCGTGACTAAAAACCTGTTGCTAACTTCAGCCAGTGACTAAAGCGCCATAAAGCCACAACTTGTCAATGTGTATTTAAAAGGTCACTTAGTGTCATGGAAAGAACGTTTTAAATGTGCACAGAAAAAAATCTAACATAGTACCAAGAAAAGCGCTGTCATTGAATGCATTAAAATTGAAGCAATCTAAATTGTTATTTGCTCAATTAATTACTATTAAACCAAAATAGGGAAATATTTTACCTAAATGTCAAAGAATTAATTGCGTTAAATGTATACAAAGTATAAGTCTCATTCTGTAAATGGTATTTAACTGTTGGATGTAAATTAAATTAAATAAATAAATAAAAATAAATAAATAGTAACGTTATTAAATAAATCAAATTAGTATTTAATGCAATAACATTCTAACATTCTAACAAATAAATATCGATATGAATATTAATAGATTTAGGAGCGATAACTTTTGTTGTTAATATAAAAACAGTAAACGATTATAAACCAAGTGCTAACTACCTATTGGTATTATAGGAACTGTTATTTAGGAATACGGATTACAGGATCCCATTGATTTAATGGCTCACCCATTCATGCTATGCTAGCGTTTTTTCTGTGTACTTGAAGAAGGATTTCCAGTCAACCCGATCAATTTGTCTTTGAGACCAAAGAATACTAGTTCTAGCCGATTTTTTATTCTTTACAAAATGGGAGGTGTACCAGCCAGTGTGTGGGAATAAATAAGTTGTCGAAGATACCTTCAAGAATTGCAATGTTTTTGAAATTGAAGGAACCAGCGCTCTACACCGGTCACTGCCTGAGAATGTCTTCGGCGACTCTTTTGGTCAATGCAGGGGCTAACATGACTACTTTGAAGCGTCACGGAGGATGGATGTCCTTGACGGTAGCAGAAGGATACCTAGAAGAATCGGTGCATAACAAAATACAAATTGCAGAAAAAATACAAGGTTCTAATGCGTCGGCGTCTTCCAGCACTATCAGCAGCTGTACCGATATGGGAGCGTCCAATGAACCAATGAACCAACGAATTTTACAATGACTTCATACGGATTACAAGATCCCATTGATTTAATGGCTCACCCATTCATGCTATGCTAGCGTTTTTTCTGTGTGGGAGTAGAAAAAAGGATTTTTGAACACAAATATTTATGTTAGATTTATGTTTATTTTGAAAAATATAGTAAATTATTATACAGGATGTTTCCTAACCTTAGCTAATTTTAAAACAAAAAGTATTTATTATATTTTTTTAGCTGTCGCATATATTATTATTTATTAATTATTAACAAATTATAATAATTTTTTAATAAATATTAAGGCTTGGAATTTTTTAGTTTTATAAATTCGAATTATCGTTTAAATATTAATTGGAATAATCAAATTATTCGAATAGTCGAATTATTTCAATACTTGAATTTTCAAATATTTAGATATATGAATATTAAATACTTTAAATAATAAAATTTAAATACTATACAGGGTGAGTCATTAAACTGGAAACACAGTAAGTATGCATTTTACGAAAAAATGTTTAAAATATCAATGACTCGAGGGGGAAACTAAATCAGTACTAAAATTGGTCCTCATACTCTCCTCCTTTGAATACAATACTTGGTTTTATTTTTTAAATTTATTTATTATTTAAATTTTAATTAAAGTAGGTGCTCAAAATGGTGGACCTCGACTTCAATGCATTTATTAATTCGCATTTCGTTTTAATATTCTGCTAACACTGCTCTGGGATATTCCCAAATTTCTAGATAATTCTCGTGTGCTTGCATAAGGATTAGCGGCCGTTGCTGCTAATACATTAATTTCATTATTTCCACCTGTGACTGTTGCTCGATGAACTCTTTTTTTCGGTTGAACACTCCCGTTTGTAGTAAACTGCTTGACTGTACGGTGTAATGAAGTACGTGATCGAATTTTATCCGGAAAACGCTAAGCGTAGATATTAACAGCATCATCAAGATTCCTGCCTGCTTCTCTATAAATCAAAATCATTTCTATTTTTTCTTCCACTGTTAAAAAATCCATTATGAATAACTGCTTAACGAAAGGAGGTCTTAATGTTTGCAAATTAATCTTCAAACTAAATTGATTAAATAATGCTAAACCATAAATAGTTTTTTTATACCTCAATAATAATTATTAATTATAACTAAATACCATTTTTTATACCTCAATTAGGATAAATTAATTAATTGACAAAATATTGTTTTTTACCTAAAATAAGGTATTTTTATTAAAAATAGTATAATAATCCTTTAAATTAAAGGATTTAATGCTTGCAGGTAAAAAGTGACCATGGTGCGCAATTGATTATTATCACCGAATGAAATAATGTATAAAACTTAAACCAAAGGAAACTTAAATATTAGTTAAAAAATCGTGGGTACTTAAAAAATCAAATTTAATTTAATTAGATAATTATTACCAAAAAAGTGATATTTTTAAAGAAAAATTATTGCAGAATCGTATAAAGAAGAAAAATCAAACAAAATTGATTTTTTTCATTAGAACGCCATCTATTACAAATATGATAAAATGTTTTAGACAAAATATACCTATTTTTAGTCGAATGATCTGAATCTGAAACAAAAAATAGGGTGTTCCATTGGATATTTTAAAGTTACCCCCTATAAGGAGGAGAGTATTAGGACCAATTTTAGTACTGATTGATTTCCCCCCTCGAATCATTTAATTTTTATTTTAAACATTTTTTCGTAAAATGCATACTAACTGAGATATTTCAAAGTTTCAAGTTAAATGACTCCCCTGTATATTATTAGAATAATATGTTTCTTATGTTTAAGGTTTGATTTTAAATATTTAAAAAATAAATATATTTCTCGTTCTTATTTTACTCGCACTGACGAGCAATGTTGCGAGGTCTAGTGATTTAATAAAAACTTTTTATGTTTTTTTTTGCTAATAGCATATACAGGGTGTCCATTTTTCTAGGCTAAGCTAAAACTTTTTCCTAATTTAACCAACCATGTATCTCTAAAGATAAGTGAGATAGCCATACTTAGCCGGCCAATAGTTTAAAGTATTTTAAACAATAAAAATGTGTTAATTTTATATGCGTATACAGTTAAGAGGCTCACCCTGTAATTATTGGAATTTAATTTTTATGTGAATTTATACCAGTTTTAAATCAAAATCATAATATTCTATTTTAAAAAATGATATTAGATTCAAATCGAAACTGGCTTAATAAAATAAAATAAAAAAATTTTGACCTAAAGGTTAAATAATATTACAAAAATGGCGAATGTGCCGGGATATTGAAATTCTTGCAAACTTAAAATATTTCTCTAATAAGTTTTGTTTTTAAAGGTAAATTAATTAAAAATACGTTAAAATATTTCCATAATTAAGTTTGTAAATTTTATATAACATACCTGTAGCAAGCACATATATCTATTTACATGTAACAAGATAATTTAATTCGAATAATGGATACCTTTAAAAGAAAATGCGGCAGTAACTAAATTTTAAATTATGTTCCAGAATAAAAATCTTTTGATTTTCCCACATGTTAATATTTGTTTAAGTTTTGTTTTAATAATATTTAAATTGTATGCTTAAATAAGCCGAGAGAATATTTATATATATAATTACTATTTATACCATTTACTTTTATTTGTATTTTCCCAGCGCCTAGACGTATTTTTATTTATATTGAAATTTCAAGACTCCTAATACAGTGTGTTGTATAAAAAACATTGCAGATGTTGCAACCTGTACCTTAGAAAATTTTAGAAATAAGAAATATAAGCCTCATTTTATCTTTTTTACTTATGTACTTGTAATGGGAATGATAGGGCAGTTAATTTTTAACATTTGGTAGTTTAAATTTTTTTCTACTCCCCCATTTAAAACGCCCTTTATCGTACATGTTTCTATGACACCAAGTGACCTTTTAAATACACATTGACAAGTTGTGGCTTCATGGCGCTTTAGTCACGGGCTGAAGTTAGCAACAGGTTTTTAGTCACGGGCTGAAGTAAGTTTTAAGTTAGTTGACAGTTGTCAAATGTCATACAATCGTAAATGTGAAAATTATTTTATTATCTTAATACAAAAGTATTAAATAGTTTCTCAACGCCAATATTTAAAAAGTTTATATGAACATTGTACTGCCCTTTTAATTTCGCCGGCAGTAAACTATAACTTAAATTCGGGTACGGACTCCACTGTAAAGTGCTCATAAAACATTTTCTTTACTTTCACTGTGAAAAACTCAATTTTCAAGAAATACATTTCGATTTATAACCTTTATAAAATATAAAAATTTGACTTTTGACGGTGACACACATTCCCCTATTGTTTTATAGATGGCGCCCTATACAAATTTTTGATTTAAATC